GAAGATATGTCTAATCTACCATTGATGCAATACTTTTTTTCAAGTATCTTTTTTACTGTGATTATTTCAGAATAGCCACATTTATCATGACAGTTGTGCGCAGCAGGGTCGGCTGTTCAGTTGTCTGAGAGCCTTGTTTGAGAGCTTTGCTTACTGGAGAGCGAAAATACTTACATCCCATAGTTATTGTGAATTGACATTCAAACACCTTTATCGAAATTTCTGTGCAGACTTGTTTAAGACTTCTTTATAAAAAATAATCATGTTTTGCCGTGTAATGTCATAGCGCGACAGCTAAAGTAAGACACGACGGGCACTATATCTTGTTTACACAATAAGCATCGGTGTTTGACATAGACATGTTTTTCCTATTTCTTAATTTGTTTAATTTTTTCAACAGAAAAATAACAATGTTCTAAACTTCGTACATGGCCTAGAGTTTTTTTAGACGACTTTGAACATGATAGTATGAAATTTTGGGAAAATGACATAATTAACAATATCCTTTAATCTAAATGTGAAAACCTTATCAACATTTAATTTGAAGTTAATAAAGGGAAATTTATGTATTGATATGACAGATATATGTACAATATATCACATCTGCAGGAAACATATCGAACAACATGTCTGTAGGACTGTTTATTGAGGTAACTTTTCCTGAAAAAAACACTACATTTATTAATATACTCGTGATTTGTACACCAGATATTTCATGAAACAGGATTTGGTAGGCGATAAGCTGTCACATCATTGACGTTAATGGTCTGTAATTCGTATAAACTGCCGCGGGCAACGGACCGGGTTAACCACGAATTGTTTCTAGATATATGACGTCACATATTCCATCAACAACACCTAGTTAACGGAAAGGACTGACTGAAACGGAATGAAGCAGGGATATTTTCACTGTATTTGTGGCTTGATCCTGATTCTTTTTTGTCTAATCTTTCAAGGTAAGTATATATTTATGTCGGTAGATTTATTCATAATGAATGTTTCCAGGATGTCCGGTATGTAGTGTGTGACACCTGAGACCTAGATTTGAGCTCATTATTATGTACAGATGTATGTGTATAGAGGATCGGTGTTAAGATCCTGTTGTGTCTCGAATGAACCAAATTCCATCAATGGGACTGGAATCATGTCAATCATTAAAAATGATTTATTAGAGAAGAAACATGAAATGACGACGGGACGCTGGGATTTCAACCTGAGTCTGCTTCATTTCTGCAATATAAAATTCACTTTTGATTTGGGTTCATGTGTTGTATGTCTAAGAAAGCTTAGAGGTTAGCACAAACGCGTTCACGGAGTTGTTTTGTTTTTCAAGACTTTATGTTTCCCTAATCCCTGTTGTCACGTGAGTTTCTTTCATTTTCATAAAAATACTTATTTAAAAACAACATGTCGATAAAATATGGCGTGGTGTTAAAGTGACATGATGTTTACTGCTTCAACAAGATGTAAATTTTACAAATATATGTAAATATATACGTGTAACATTCTCAGGATTACTGTGTCCAAGATATACTAGATATAGGCATACAAGATTTATCTCAAATTAAGGCTTAGGAGTGTAATTGTGTCAAGCCTTAAAATGCATTTCGTAACGAGGAAGAAATATTGAACAATATTGTCATTTCAGTCGGTTGTTTTCATGTTTAGGATAAACGGATCACCAGATAGATATAAGAAACACCCACACACATGTTATGACCTCAGACACTTCCGATACGTCTTCCACTAATTGCTAAACGGCATATCCATCAAGGTAAAGTTGAAGGTTAGTCGGTTTAATCCTGTTTGTCCCAAAACTGAAAAAATCTATGTCCTGTTTGTCCCAAAAACATTATGTACACAAATAGGGCAGTGCGTTGTTATAACAGTTACAGTACCTGTGTGTGTTGTTTTAACAGGTAAAGAACTTGTCCAAAATTTTACACCGGTAAACTTACACAGGTAAACCGTAAAGCTATTTGAAACATTTTGAAAAAAATCAAATACAAATATTATTATAACATAAACTAATATATATGCATGTATGAATAATTAATATTAATTAAATAAAATAAGTTAAATTGGATATCACAAACAAATGATTTTGTTAAAATATATCTTTAAAATATTTTATATAATTTCGTTTAGTATTTTATATATATATATATATATAATTTTAAAAATTCATATTTAAAATATCTAATGTCACATTTTAAAAATTTGTGAAAAATACAAATGGTTGCCTAAGACAGGTAAGTGGAATAAGAGGAAGTAGTGAACATCTAAGCCCTATATAGTAATTGAACACCCAAACTAGGTATGCATAACTGTACTGGAACAGTAGTCACCAACAGGATGAGGTGAACTTCCAAGCCATCTGGAGTGAGTAGAAATACCCAAGCTGAAAAGCATATGTATTTCAGACACTGGAAGGGGACAGTATCATCGTAAACATGGCAAACTATTAAGTTCAAGTTCAGTTCACAACCAACAAGCGAGGGGTAGGACTTTACCGGATTCCGCTACAGAGTGAAGAACAACTACCGAGACACCACCTACTGGAGATGCTGCATTCGGTACTGCCCTGCAACAATCACCACCACAAATGACATCCCAGTAAAATTAGGTCTCCAACACAACCATCCACCCAACCACTTCGAAGAAGTACAGAAGTTAATGAACAACATTAAGAAAAGACACGGAGAGGAACTGAAGCCCGTACCAACCATCTATGACGAAGAAATTGGCAAAGTACAGATGCACAACAGATACCCACCTACACATCGTGTAAGACATCCCTCTACCACAGCAGAGCAAAACTTCTACCAAAGCTCCCAACCTCCGCAGCAGAGATTATTCTAGAGGACGAATGGACACAGACCAACACCGGGGACCAGTTTCTCCTATTCGACAACAGTGACAACACACGGATGCTAGCTTTTGCCACTACAACAAACCTTGAGATTCTATTAACTACCGACACACTCTACTGCGATGGAACTTTCTACACATGCCCAGGATTCTTCAGCCAGCTGTACACGATCCATGCTGTGATAGATGATCAAATGTACCCGCTCGTATTCGCCCCTTTTACCGGGAAAACCATCTACACCAGATTCATGGAGAAGCTAAAATCTACGATGGAGGATCTGCTACTTCAACTCAACCCATCTACAGTTTTCATGGGCTTCGAATCTGCCGCCGAGAATGCAGCCAAAGCCGTCTTTCCAGGGATTACGGTGAAAGGTTGTTTCTTTCATTTCACGCAGTGTATTTGGAGAAAGACCCAGCTACTTGGGCTCCAGACCTACTTCAAAGAAAATAAAGACATCCACCATCTGATTCGCCGAGGCGCCGTTCTTCCACTCCACTAATACCACCACATCACGTCGAGGACTACTGGTTCAATGCCTTGGAGGACCTTGAAGACGTCACTGACTACGTCACCACCCAATGGATAGAGGGAGACCGACAGGTTTGGAACCACTTTGACAACGATGGACCCAGGACCGCAAACAACTTGGAAGGATGGCATAGCAAACTCAAGAAAAGGATCCCACATGCACATCCAAACATCTTCATATTCCTCAGAGTATTGAAAGACATTCAAGCTACCAATTACATTAACCGCCTACAACGTGCTGCTGGAGGACTGCCTGTGCCGAAGAGACGTCGCTATAGAATGCTAAATGACCGTCTTGTCCAACTGAAAACTCTCCTACGAAACAACGACATCGACTACATCAACTACGGAGACTGAGCCACATACCTGTTGCACATGGACTGATTTCGTTTTATTTTGAATTGTGTTCATTTATCAGTTTCATTTATTTCTATAGTTATGTCCTGAACTGTATAGTTGAACATGAAATGTATACTATATCACATCCATTCAAGTTAAATTATGTTGTAAGTATAATTGTATAATTATATAAAATGTACATTATATTATAGTGGTATGTAGTGCTAAATTTACCTGTATTTTAAATAAAACTCTTAGTAGATTAATTGCTGGTTTGTTTTCTTATCCATTACAGACTTATACATGCAAAATCCTGTTTGTCCCAAAATATATGTTACCTGATTTTTCAGTTTTGGAACAAACAGGATGACACTGCATAGTCACCTTAATATTAACTACATGTACAGTTTTTCTTCCGAGACATAAGATGTGTTGTAAAATGCGAATATGTTGGTTTTAGTGTAACAGTAAATATTTAATAACAATATTTAATTCAAACAGGTATTAACACAATCTACGCGACACTTTAAAGATTTAGAACTTATTGTAAGCAATATCAGCTTATACAGATTGCTTCTCATTCTTAAAGATATTGTATAAATGTGTTTATATTTTCGACATACTGATTGAAATATTGGTTTAAACGAAAATATAAAACGTTTGTTAAGTTATACATCTTTAAATGATATGTCTCCGCTTGTGCTGATCTAAAAAAAGATGATGTAAACTGAACTGTGATGACTCTAAACGACCTAGCGAGACAGACATGCTACATTGATAACAGGTAGAAACGCGAAGTTATTGGAATCCCTGTCTTCTTTCTATGTTTCAATGCGTGCATGACTTTATCTGTAAATAATCTTTTTTCGGTTTTCATCTATCGTTAAACCTCGTCATTAATCCTTTGTAACATGATTGTAACATAACGACTAGTCAACAGTTGTTAATAACTGAGAGAATTACTGGTAATTATTACTGAAATGAAATCCATTTTTTTCAAAACCCATTTTCTTTAATCATAACTTTAATTTACCCTTGAAAACAAAACATTATAGCTAAAATCCCTCCCCTTTAAAGTAGACCAGGCTCCGAAAAGTTACGGCACACTCTAAATTAGAAAGCTAAGTAAGGAAAACGGAAAAGTTTGGGGACATATTGCCAAACGACGTAAAATAAGTATCGTGTCTATTATTGAAATAATATAAGAAAATCAGACATTTCTGGAGGTAAATTAAAGTTACTAAGTCTGTTAATGAATATGAAATTCACAGTAAAAAATCCCGGAGAAAGCTTAGGTAAAGCAATCTTCGTGATAAAAATGACAGATGGTCTGGAAAGGTAACAAGCAGTTTGATAACTTTCAGGTCTGAGAGAACACATGTTAAACCGACTACCACGTGTAATAATTTTGGTAAGCTCTGAAAAGTTTCAAATCGAAATTCAATTGATACAGGCAGGTCCATGTATTATTCATTTCGGCAGATAACAATTATCTAACCTCTGTGGCAAGTATCTAGCTCTGCCATCAAACAATAATGTTACACATGTCGAAGTTAAGAAACGAGTATAGATATCATGGATGAACAAGTATCTATTCGTTATTTACTTTTTTCCCTTATACAGTACCCGCCAAACAAACACTACCTTCTATAGGGATATTAGCAAACGCCACGGTGGAGGAGGGTGATGACGTATATCTAGACTGTCCTGTTATCAACAAAACCGCCGTTTCTAAGGTAACACAAGATACTTATTATTATGTTCCGTATTTGTTTATAAATAAGCTCAGAAAGGGAGATATGATATTAATTTGGATAAAAGTAGGGAGTTAGCTTATAGGAAAATGTGAAATCAAGTTTGTTTGCATATTTACTATATTTTATTATTACATATATATATTTACAAATAAGCCCAGAAAGGTGGGCGGGGGATGGCCATTAATTTGGATCAAAGTAGGGTGTTGACGTCTAGCAAAACAGTGAAATAGAGTTTATTAACATATTTACCAAGCTATGGTAATTATTACTAGACATATTGCCATATGAATATAACAATACCGTAGATGTCCATGCTAGGTTTTGATTGATGTTATCATACTAAGATCGATTAAAATTAAAACAATTGGAAGTGTCAATATGTTTTGTATAAATCACATTGTAATTTTCATGGCTTCATTAATCCCAAAGGTCCAATGGTTCAGGATTCTTCCAAGCTACCTTCATATCAGCAACGACGGGAATCTGCAGACGACAAAAACGGAGAAATATGGCGTTAAGGCGACAGATGCTGCTTCTGCCAATACCCAGGCCATTAATACGGTGACCTTGATAATAAAACACGTGGCGGACTCTGACGTTGGTAGATACAGATGTCGCGTGCTCATTCCACAGGTTTCCTACCCTTTGTGGCCATCCAAGGATTCTTTTGTCAGTATCGCAGGTCTGTCACTTTGTTACAAATAGGCCCGCAAGTTGATTATTTTTTTTATAACAGTATCATCAAACAGTTATTGCTTTACTGTAAGCCAATAATAGCTAAACCAGTTTTTAATCTGATTAATGAATTCTTTCTGTTGTTAATTCTTCACTTTAATAGTTTAAATCTTGATTCATGTAGATGGACATCGGTGAACCAATTGAAGTTAAAGATACACATAATAATAAACTTTAGGAGGTACTTTATTTATCAACAGCACCCCCTGTAATTCTGTCTGTGGGCAACACCAAAGTAGTATCTGCCGTTGGTGGAGACGTCACGTTGACATGTCGAGTGTATGGAGCCCCTGAACCGACCATCACATGGTACAAAGGCGACGCGGGGACCAATATAATGGGACACGTATGTTCACAATAATCATTCTTTTATCTGAATTTTCATTGGAAGTTCGATCCATGAAAATATTATTGATATTTTGTTTTTAGGCGTTACCTACATACAACATCAATATAAATACAAATATCAACATACAATGACAATGATCACTTGTTCTAAATTCTGACAGATCACCGGCTCTCTAAGCCGTATCTTATTTTTACTCCACACTAGCAACAGTTTTAGGGGTGAAATGGCCATAGATATAGATTTTTTTGACTACATAATTATACAATATGTCATGTTACAACACAGAAATCAGTGGTTTCCTGACCACCAATCTTAACTTTTTCAAATATGTCTCGGCATTGCACTGACTGTACTTTGTAGTGATTATATATTATGTTGCACTATTTTACCTTAGGGCGAGGTGTTACATCTGGAGGGCCTCAGAGCCGGGGATGGGGGTGAATACAGTTGCGAGGCTGATAATGGCGTGTCCCCTAACGCTATGGAGACCTACCACATTACCATTAAACAAGAACCGTTGTGTTCGGCTCCACGATTACACGTAATGCAAGCAAAAAATATATTTCAACCTGCTGAAATGTCGTGTCATATAACTGGTAAGTGGGTTGGCTTTTTCTCTGTGATTTAAGATTCTTTAAAGATTTTGGTCTTCTATGTATATTCGAATATACGAGATTTATAAATTGTGAGCCTCATATTGAAGGGTTTTGTTTTTGGCGGACATATTGCATTATTTTTCATAATGATCCCCTTCAGTATCTATACACTGATATACTATAACACTGACGATGTTTAAGCCTCAGCGCCTCATTTAAAGAAGTCAGTTTCGTTACCGTTTAAAAAGTCCTCCACTGCATTTATGGCGTCATCATCTGACCGAAAGTCAGTACCGAAAATTGCCTTTTTGCAATTTTGGAAATTAATGAGTTTGATGGAGCAAGGCGGATTCTTATTCAATTCAAAGCTATAATCGTTAATGACAGTCATGGCAATGACAGACCTGTGAACAAGGGCATTGTCCTTGTAGAACAAAACACCTTTACTGAGTTTTTGGCGGCGCTTGAGCTTATTACTTTCTCTTGACTGCCTAAGAAGTGATGCATTATATGTGCCATGGATTGTTTGTCCCTTTTGCAAGTAATCTGCCATCAAAATACGATCAGCATCCCAGAAAACAGAGGACATTGACTTTCTAACTGATGGAACTGTCTTTGCCTTCTTTGACGGGGATGAACCAGGGTGCTTCCACTGTTCAGATTGTTGTTTGCCCTCTGGGGTAAAATGATGGACCCACGTTTCATCCATAGTCACAAACCTCTGTAAGTTAACAGGATCTGTCTCTAAAAGGTTCAAATAAGCACGCGACAACTTTCGCCTGATGTGCTTCTGATCAATTATCAGAAGTCTTGATACCCTACAGGTTGAGAGCTTCCACATTGAAATTACATCTGCACTAGCTATACATCTCTCTCTAACTCGCTGTCAGCCATAACAATATCATTGACTTTATTGGACATTTCTGACTTTGTAACAATGACCGGCCTTCCAGGACCCCAAGGCTCTGTCTGCCGCGCTCAAATTCTGCCACCTACATTTCACTGTAGCATAAGAAGGGACATCATTCCCTAGTGTTACTACCATATCAGTATAAATATCCTTAGGTACTAGACCTTTCTTATGCAAATATTGAAGCACTGTTCTTCAGCGGTATTGTCCATTTTGCCAAAGTCACTCGTCTTGTTTACTTTAAAGTGCACCAGTCTTGGGGAACACAATCTTAAATAGTCAGAGAATAGTAGAGCTGAAAAAGGACATCCCTGCTTAACTTCTTCAATACAAGGCTCACAACTTACCAATCAGTCCTCGTAAAATTCAATCACTGTCGTAAGCAATGAAGAATAAAACGGAAGTTGCGATGATCCTCTTTTTGCTGCCATGGCCATGGATGGCGATCAAGTAGGTTTTAAAGTTTGCTCGTTGTCTAGGTAATACTCAATCTTTCCTTTTTGTGTTTGACAATGTCGGGACATCTTTCAGGGCTAGACGGAACTTAAATAATATTGTACCAGGTCATTAAGATTCTCGCCATTTTGTACAATTCCCAGACCCAGGTGTCCCGATAATTACAGTTTTAAAGTACATAATGCTGATATTTTGAACCGGTGCCAAACGTTTCTTTTGCTTATAAAGATTTCCTTTCCTTTCAGAAAATAAAGAGCTCGTACCTTGATATTAGCCGACAATTTATAAAGAGGGAGAATTCGAAGAATCCAATTCTGTTATTTTTAAGTTGCAAAAAAAACATCATACATCATTTGTCCACATGTGTAATTTGTTGTCCGACATCTGTTTTGTAAATAGCATGGACATTTTGAACGCAGCAATGAGTAATAAAACATTAAAATTTCCTGAGAATGACTTTATGATTTGTCCACGTTCTCGGTTTACTGGAATAGATATTTCAGACTAGTGTAACTGTTTCTTTATCTCAATTTTCAGAGGCAGTTATCGTGATGAACAAGATTAGCTTTATTTAGATTTTCATAAACACCATTTGTTTCAGTTGGATTACATTGATACCGTTGTGTAAACCTGTGTGCTATTGTCAACATTTTCACATTGTTTCATTTCCTCTTTATCTGACTTTTTTTTTTCAAGTTTCTAAGGTATTTATAATGGTGAAACATCGCAGGTCAACGACATCATACTCAAAAGTAGTGGATAATTAATTAACTGTAACATCATGACATATTTGATATTTCTCTGATAATATTCAGCATTTTCCTCCATTTTGTATAAGACTTTGTTTCCTTGTTCGATATGGTTAGTTTTCGTCTTTGATTTACTATCATTTATTGTTTTATCAGGTTTTGCACTGCTAAATGATTCACCGTGTAACATAAAACAGACGTGTACAGTATCACTTTATCTTGGATGTATTCGTGTTCCCGTCGTTGATCATAATTATCATAGCGGTTACATACATTTCAAGTTTTTGATTTCCAAGGTTATCCGGTGCCAAAAGTAACATGGAAAAGATACACCGTACACGGAATTCAGACGATTTTCACTTCAAAATATGACATTCATAACATACTACCAAAGGACAATTCTGGCGTGATGACGTCAGTGCTCAAAGTTTACAACGTCACAGGTTCCGACTTTGGCACGTACATATGTGAAGGACTTAATGATATTGATCAGTGTACAGCAGAAATAAGATTGCTGGGTAAGCATTTTTATTTATTTATAAAATCACAAAACATAAAGTAAATACTATTATTCCTCCGTAAAGTCTATACCATATATATTTACTTACTAACATTGGTAAATAGATTTGTACAACACTATAAATGATTTTCAAACTGTCTGGCCATTCCTCAAAGTTCAAGATTCCTTCATATACAAGTCGTGCTCCTCGGCTTACAAATATTTTTATTGTACACTTTGTTTAGGTTTTGATTACAAATTTATTTGTGGAATTTTCCCCACAAGTAATCATACGATTGTACACGCAACTGAAGAATGCTTTCTCGGTAGCTGTTCTGACCAATTATTCAACGTTTTCCTTATAATTAGCTTAAACATATTTTATTGCAAAAGCAAATGGATTGGGCATCAAGTTATCTCAACTTATAAGAGCCCTTTCCACAATAATATATACAATGAATGTGACAACAGCTATGTACAGTTAAAACTTATTTTTATAATACTCGGAGTATACCTCAGTTTGTCGTGGTTATTGTTATTATGCTCTGAATTAGTATTGCAGGACAAAAACGTGTTTCCATCTTGTTTTGGTATTAATTAAATCTTTAGATGATAGCAGACATGATTGTTTAGAAAACATAAAGGGAACACGATGAAAGGAAAACGAAATGTGTTGATGTGTTTTTGTTGTAATTGGTTTTCGTGTGTCTCAATACTTGCTTTGTATTATACAGAAAGTCGCGAGTGTGTGGGGCCTCATTGTGACAGCAGAACAATTATTAGTGATATGGGTAAGTGTTCAGTCTTTCCATTTGAAAATGAAATATGTTCATTAACTGGCAGTTCCAAAACTGCGCTGGTCATAGCGGCGTCACAATGTATGGGACGTTATGCGATGTCCATGCTTAGACTGGATTACCGGCCTTAGTACAACTTTTCTCCGCTAGACTGCTCTCGTGGAAACTATTTCTGAAGTGAAGTCTAGCGGTGAGTAGAAAAAAAATACGACAGTCAACCAGTTAATGGCAAAGCTATCTGTTGTAGTCTTGGCTCCAACAACTTGCAATAAGGTATCAAAGTGATAAGTTTGCATCTTACGTTAATGGCAAGGATAATATTTTCACGAATTGAAAGAAGAAAATTACTTTTGTCATTTAAGTTTTAGAATATAAAGAAGTCTGCATGCTTTCCCCAGGGACGTCTCTGCTTTTACTGTAAAACAAGATTATTACTATTAATATTATATTTGACTTTTATCTTAAGTGAAATGTTCAACTGAATGTATTTGACATGTTTGTTTTGAAACGTAAAAATGTGTTCCTTTCAGAAATTGGACATTCTCCAGCTGTGACGACACCCGCACCTTCTGATGACGATGATGACGCAACTCAGGAGGGACAAAAGGCACCAAACAAACAAAACTCCGGCGTTACCGTAATACCACCAATGTCGTTTATTTGTGTCTTGTCGCTATTTGCCTTCTTTATTACCGTGTAGATTTAGTTGTATTAATTTTAGTATTATCAGCCTTGCTATGCATTCTTCTATCCAAACTTATTGAATGTACCACTATAACTGGTTCGATTCCGTGTTTCCTCGTCTTCGTTTTTACGTTTAGAAGTAGTAGTTTTTTTCAGCTTTTTCTTTGTTTTTCTTTAATTTTCAATAGAATGATACTGTCTGATTTTAACATATGTATTAACGCTGAAAACTGTATAGATCTGTCGTAATATTTCAGTATTAAAATATGAGATCCTATCGTAATTTAATCAAATGATTCAATGAAATGACACAGATACTTAACAATTTAGTGTGCAGAGACAAGTGCTCGAATCGGTTGTTTTGAAATGATGAACAGCATCGGTAATATTTGTTCTCAGTGTGTTTAAGATAAAAAAAGGAATTACTTTTTTTCACACAATATGAATATATATATCTACTTAATTATCGTTATATATATATTTATACAAGGAATTCGTACCCTGATGTCTAAATCATTCGTGTTTCTATGACTGAATAATCAGAATATCAGAATGTTGAGTTTTTGTGAATAGTGTATAGGAAATCGAAAGAAGGATGGGGAGGGGTCTGAATTATGATACAATTCCAGTTCTGGACTCCAGTATATATCAGCATGTGTAGAATACTGCAATGTACAAATGGTGACAAATACTTTGAGAATCAATCGTATTTATCAATATTTTTACACAATAGAACATTTCTCGGGTAGATTGAATAAGTACTGTCATTACTACAGATAACTTAGACGATGCCGTGTCTTATCGTCCGCGCTGTAAGACGGAAGGGCAACACAAGATTTATCAAATAATAATAATAAAATTAATTTCGTCGGAAATAGTGTTACGGTTGGAGTGAAAAAAGCACTCTCAAGACCAAGCTTTGCCATAAGGATAAAACCATATTTTTCCCAATATGCAAAACTTAAGTCGAGAATACATCTTCCAAATTGAACTTTACTGGTAGTCTATTACAGATAACACAATTTGGATAATACTGGTCTATTTTCTACTACTAAACAACCCTTCAACTGCTTATTGCTTATTGCGCATTTTGTACACCTCTTACATAGTATAGTTAGTGTCCTCAAATGACTTATGTGTATATATAAATGTGTAATTAAATTCCCTCGGATTTTATAATTTTGGCTGAATCTTGAAACTAGAGAAGAATCTTCCATCCAAAGATTTCCGACATTTTTTATCTGGTTTGAAGCTATGAAAAATCTTAGTCTTTCAAGCCTGCGCTATCCTTATGGAAAGATAACACTAATGATAAAAAAATGAGTTCCTGTTTATTATTACCCTTAGTTATCACTTACTGCTTCGAAAACTAACGAAATGAAAAAATTGAAATCAAATTAAAATTTATCAGGCTGTGGTTGTTGAGCTCTCTTTGTAACAGTTCTTAAACAAATCGACGTGGACACAGTTAGTCCCACCTGTACTTTGAACATCGACTAAGATTTTATAAAATTAAAGTTTGTGTGATTATTTCACAAACAATTTTGTGGTCTGATTTTATTATTGCTTTAGGTATTTATTTAAAAATTGTTGGTACAAAATTCTAATTACCCAAATGTTTGACATAACCTTGTTTTAACCCATTATAGTTTTCAGAAATTTTAGGAGAATAGTATTTTGTTTCAATCTTTGTTAATATGATTGTGACGAACAGATGTGAAGTGAATTGTTATAAACATTGTCTGTAAAAATTTAAACGTCGTGCAATGTTGAAAATAAAAGATATTAAAGGTCTGGTTTATTCAATATAAAAATTGTTTATTCACTATGACAATTGTTTTTTCACTATTGTTTATTCACTATGACAATTGCATAGTAATGAACCTAGATATATGTCGTAATATTGAAGATATGAATATGCCAAAACATGCTAACGATAACTTCTGATGTGCCTTGATGTATATGATATAGGTATAATGTGCAATATTGTCGTGTTTAATTCCATTAAAACAAATAGAGTAATGACATTTTGTGTTGTTATTTATTGTCAAACAGTAACTTCTAACCAATCAGCAAATGTTTATTAATCTAAAGGAGGAGAAAATAAGACAGTCCAGACAATAGAACGAAATAAAAAAAAACATGAAAGGAAATTATAATAAAAATTCAACGAAAGTGGAGGAAAAGGATAAGAAAGAAAGCGACGTTTGAGCAAAATAGAAATAATTGATGTAAATTAATTACAAAAAAGAAAAAACAGTTCAACTGATTTTTCAACGTTGGAAAGATGACCCAGCTTGAAATAATATCGTGCTTAGCTTTATTTGGTTGTAGTTTAACCCTTCACAGCCTTGGAATGATAATACAAACTAGAATAAGTAATTTATTCAATAATTTATATCAATTTTCGCTTCTTATTGGTTAGAACAGAATATTAAGCTGAATAACATTTCAAAAATAGTGCAGGAGAAATCTAGAACCCATTACAGATCGACGTCCTTCCGTAGTACAACTGCCTCGGGCTGGGCGTGTCATCATCATTTTTGATGTACAATGTATATGTTTAAAATACGAAACAACACATACTTGAGAAAGTATCCACTGTCTGATATCATAACATATATCTCGATATCAACGAAACGAGTTTGAATACACGGTCGGGAATCACGTGGTCTGATGTTGGTGAGTATCGTGATAACAAAATGACCGACACCACCGCTACACGAGAAAACATAGTATTGACTCATATCATGTCACCACACTTTTGATAGTCTCTCAGAAGCTATTGCTGATGAATCTCAGCGAAAGGTGACTCTTAATTTCGTGCTAAACTTGCTAAACTGATCGAAAAATATTTTGACATTAGATGTTCAGATTGATCGGCACCTGTTAATCGAATAGCCTATTTACTACGCATTAAACGCTTATTTGGAAGGGATATAAGATTTTAGATAACATTTGACATATAGATGAAAATTGTAGTTTAACAACATCACTCAATCCGACGTGGCTACTGGTCAATCGTCAAATATGATCCGGCTTAGCCATTATGACATACCAGTAATTTGAAGATCAACATTTTAAAATCAATATCGATTATTTTAAGTATATAGACTTTGGACATTCTACGTCCATGCTAAAGATCCATTTTACAGTGATCCTAAGCTTTTTGATTCTTGAAAAAGAAGTATTTCGCTGTTTTTAACACCATGGCGACATCATGACTTTTAAATCAAGCGATTTGTTGGTCAAGAAGAACAAATTTGAATACACTTTTAAAGTTATATAATTAATGAGATATTGATGTATATAATAGGAGGGGTGTGGGCTTCGAGAAGTGGGCTTCATACATTTAGAATAGACTTGCATAGATAAATCGCCAGCAACCATACATACATGTTATTGTGAACCCCTCCGAGTGCCTCTTGATATCTGACACCGCTCACTAGCACGTCAGTTCCGAGCTGAGATGTTTACACGGATGTTGAAATGGTGAGTCCATTTATAACATTGTTCAGGAGAAAAGACTTACCTGTTACGTAGACATAAATTATGAGAAGGAATATTCTGCTATAAAATATATACAGACAAATTGTCTGTGTCTACGTGTATATTAGTGTCTATATATCTGTATATTATACGTGTCTGTTGTGTATGCACAGGGGCTCGGTAGTATTCGGAGGTATTTTAAATATGTCGGATCGCACCCCTGATTTTCGAACCAGGAAGATCTGAGACTTATGCCGATCTGAAAACGACGTCAAACCAACCACAGGTGTATATGTACCTCAGTGAATCAGTTTTATCACTCTACATCCGACGTCCCATTTCATAAATGTTGTAACACGTGCCCCGTGGTCTATCATTTCCAAGAGGTCTAACATATACTACAGTGTAAAGGGAATGAGTAATGAATAAGCCCTGTCGGGCTTCGAATGAGCAATCCTGCAGTTTCTAGTCGGTCACTCTACTGCCCGGCTAAAGAGAAATTCACGCTAGCGGAAGCTAGTAATCTTTCAACTTCTAAACTCTCCATTAACAAACTCTTTTAGCACGAAGACGCTTCAATATCGCCTAGGAAGCATCTCAATCTCCTCTAGCTTCTACCCTTGACGGCATCAAATCTGTAACAGGAAGGAATAATGATAAACACTACACCACCGATAGGGTTCGAACTAGCTATCCTTCAGTCTCTAAACGGATACTCTACCGCTCTACTTGGAGGATAGTCTCGCTACCCGAAGCTAGCAATGCGACTTGTACTCTCAACTTCTACACTAGCATAAATTACGTGATTATCTGAAGATTCCCGTTGTTGCCTTTGTGACGTCATTGTTTCGGGACGTCATATACATTGTGATGTCACCAAAGAAAGAGATATAAAGTTCGAATATCGCTAATTTAGATTTTGTCAGTCCAATTCAAGGCTGTTTTCACGAATACGTGCAGAAATGTCGCAGGTAATGAGGTTTCCTTTGGACATGAGAATTATGAAACACTCGTTGCCAAGAGGCTGGGGATCACAAGAAATCCCAAGACTCGTTTGATCCTATATCTTACTACTAAATCTATAGTCCGTATGAAGTTGAGATTAAGTCCGTCTATACAATGTTTTGACATCGCCAGACAGTCTAGCACTCCATAATAGTTTAGGACTGATGCTGTCAATAATTTCAGTACAACATAAGTAGTAGGAGACTTTGTGGTAACTGCCCCCTCCGTTGTCCGTTGATTACGTCATCATATATCCATCATTCATATATTTAAAAAAAACCACCGCATTCAAAACTTGGGAAACCGCCATACTTGCTTCACTTTTCATATTGACGTTAAACATGGCGGCCAACATATATAACAATACTTCTGTTCACTGACTTGCGGCAATGCGTGTGTATCTATTACACGATCAAGTTTAAAAGATTTTACAAAGCGAAAACATAAAATAATAAAAATATGAGACAGTTCATAATCATAATTCGGTATGACGTAACCTACTGTCACCCGCAGTCTCAAGTGGATATTGTTGAATGTAATAATTTCTTCCATTTTCTAAACATTGGTCATTAATTAATTTGAAATCAACATGATCAGATAGGATTATGAAATGTTACTGATTCGTTTGTCATGTTTGTAGGGACGGGAGTAACAGATTCGGATCATTGAAACTTTACCATGGAGTGGTGGAAGGTGATCGTGGCAATTGGCTGGCTTTTTTCAACAACAGAAGCACATGATCCTAAAAATATTCTTGTACTAGGAGGAAATGGATTCATTGGGGCTGCGACGTCAGAGAGATTGATTGCAAGGGGAGATAATCTTGTACTGGTAAATCGTGGTAACTGGTACTGGGATTCCAAGTCCACCGTGAAGCCATTCGTCATTCACTTAACTTGTGACCGGCAACGTCAATTACGTCACTGTGAAGATTTACGCCGATTTAAAGACGCTGTATATTTTGATGTGGTTATTGATTTTAGTGCGTACCACTCAGAAGCAGTTGAAGATGTACTAGACTTACTGAAAAGTAGAATAGGTCGGTATATCTACATCAGCTCAGATTCCGTATACGAGGTCTGCCAAAAGAACCATTCCAATCCAAGTCTGGAAAGTGACGCCGTCCGTCCGTTTAATACTGAAGAAAGGTTATTGATGGCTGGCAAGGATGACTACGGCCATAGAAAATTAGAATGTGAAGAGGTGCTTGTCCGACAAAGAGAGAAAGGCGGAGTCCCTTATGTTTTGTTACGACTGCCGGACGTGATTGGACCTAGAGATAATACGTACCGTTGGTGGATGTATCAAATGTGGCTTAAACTTTCGGGCTATCTTGAACGACAGATTTCAATTCCAAAGTTTCTCTTGAATCATAAACTAAGTTTTGTTTATTCTCTTGACGTGGCTGATTTGATAGTACAGCTTACTGAATGCGGGCTTGAAAAATTTGACAATGCGTACAATCTTGGTACAGATGAAACGCCCACCCTGCAAGAGGTGTTGGAGCTGATGAAAAGACAGCTTGGTATAGAAAACATTCCCATCCCTGTAAATGATAGCGCCGATGCAATTTACTTGTTCCCTTCCGTGAAGCTTGGCTCTATTGATTCTGGGAAAGCAAAAGATTTGTTAAACTGGACACCAACCCCATTTGAAATAATTTCAAAGCAGACTATACATTTTTACGAGTCCGCTATTAGAAATAAAGATTTTGTCGTGGCGCGAAAAGAAATTATTAGAAATATGCAAGCATATTTTACCAAACAGCCACATAATGTTTGGTATGGTCTAAGTGGAGTATATGGCATAAAGTACCCAGACACACACGATGAACTCTAACGTACATTTATTACCTTTTTTTCCAAAAAACAAAAGCAGCGTATGACATTTGCTTATGACAAGGTTTCCAATTTGCCAAATTCATTATCATTCATACTATTGTTAACGAACACAATTTACGTTTTATATTTTTGGAATAAATTGTAAGAAATAAATTGATTGAAGTCTTTGTGATTATTGTTATCGAATTACAATCTAGAAAGATAGTGGTAAATTTGGCATTGGTATGAATACTTAAGAGAGAGGAAAATGACGGAAAGTAGTTTTGGTATCGTAAAGCGGACAGTAGAGAAACGCTATCATAGTACAACAAGGCCATCAACGGAAGATAATGAAAGCAAAAGTTACTTATAAAATAATTTTACGCCGTTTTGGTAAACACAAAAGTTATAGTACAACTAATTTTTTATATGAAAGTCCCTATTAGCGTTTAACGGTCCATATACATTAATATTGTGTCATTCATTTATTACCAAAAACGTGTTTAACATTTCAACACAAATGACATCATGTCTTTCATCAAGCGAGATCAAATCTGTTCATTTGATTACGTTTATATGTCGATATTATGTCGGCTAGACGGCTTTACTATAAAGATTATATTTATCATAGAGATGATTCAAGATTGTTTGTTCTTAATATGTTTGGTGTCTTATTCAGTATTTTATATACACATCAATATGTAGCGACGCACAACTCCCTGGACGAGATGTCCACTACAAACGATTTTGGCGCTGACGACAAGACGCCTCATCATTGAAGTATTCGAGGCCCAGTATTTCACACAAATAAAATATTAAAAACAATATCTCCCTGCGAACTCTTGAACACAAGTCATTTTTATTAAATGTTTGTAACTTCGATGGACCGACAACTTACCGATATTGTTCGAATCCCTAATCTTAACTTCGCATCTATTTATGATTTAATCCAACAGATTCAGTGTTTGAACAGTTATTTTATTTCAAATATTTAGGAATTCGTCTATTTCGAAACATTTTCTTCAGGTTGGTAATGTCAATAGAAGATGCGATTGCACAAATGGCTTAATTACCGTCACTGCCAATTTGCATTGTATTTCAACACCTGCAATCTTGTTACTTCCTATCATACTTGGAACTCAAAACGTTGGTATCTCAATCACATGCTTTCATCAACAAGATGCACTAGTTCTATAATTGTCCTAATATTTTAAAGCCAATTTCTACTACATTGTCAACTTCATACAAAGCCGTGTCTTCTAGGTTACCATGCTATGCTTTACGACAATGAAGTGTATACTGGAGTAAATTTTGTTTATCAGAAATAAAATGTCCTCAGAATTACCCACTACATTATAACTCTTGGAACCTAGAGAGTGATCATTCTGTGACTCCTGAATTACAAGAGATCCCAGAGGAATCTTGGCGCCAACCATTGTTTGATTTTTATTTGTTCTTTGAACGTTGGATCTTTCACCTTCTTTTCTATGTTCTTCCTCTTAACGCTGATAAATTTGAACATTGGTCCTTTGTAGAAATAGCCATTATTAGAACTGTTGTCAGGATGGTAGACTAATCCCCGTTCTACTCCCCAATCAACAAGATTTATGGAGGGGTTGCCCCTTCAAGATTCCATGAGGTCTTTCTTCATTTGGTCACCATGGCAACAACGTTTTTTTTTTCAAAAATGGTATCGCTGTATTTGTCATCCCCATAAACATTTTATACCAATTCTCAACTTAATTTCATGGTTTTATATGTCAAATTTGAGACAATAATTATCTGTAGAATTTGATTAAGTTCAAATGAAAAGTGAAAAAGGCATATCTATATATCATAGGGATGTAACATGCCAAGTTTAAGCAATATTGCATCAGTACTTTATTAGATCTACTTGACACTATTCCGGACAGACATGTGGACAGTTAGACAGGGTGAATCCATTATACCCATCCATCCCCAAACCTAGTTGCAGGCAGGGAGGGAGGATGGGGAGGTTATAATAATCTTTAACTGCCAAATCCAAGATGGTAAGCTGGAAGCCATTTTGTTTTCCTGATCAGTTGAAAAATCAAAGGGGGGCACAACTGTAGATCAAGGAGGAACTACACATTAAATTTGAGAAAGATCTATGCAGTAGTTATCTGATGATGATAAAAGAAGACAAAATACAAGTATATGTAACAATAAAATAGTTTACTGAATACTGGCAGCATTTGCCTACATATAATACAATTTGATCTACTGTTATAGATATCCCCATGAGCTCTCTCCCATCCGTGCTACTGGTAAACACTCTAGACAATGTTCTGAGTAATAATAATGTCCACTTCTTATAATCACTTGTTTACCTTATACTGGCATACTAGCGGCAGAATCTCATTGGTTCTTCTATTTTAAAGTAATATGTAGAATGGAGTACAAGATATTTTCATGTTTACTCCGATTTCTTTAGAGAGAAGATGATTAGAATTTTCAGTCATAAACAAATCTGTCTCTTAACGCTTGATATACCATTTTCCCATATAAAGTAAACAAGTATTTCTAAGAGAGTGCCAAGTTTTACCATACAAAATATCAGTGATAAATAACTGTAAATGTGGTTACAATGAATGATAAATTCAAACACAATTTTCAACCCGATTTAGATGACTTTTACAAAATTCTCCTCAGTACATTGATAAAGTGCATATGAAATGTATACACAGTAAGTAGTCTTTGAGTTTCATGTGAGCAGTAATATTTAGGAAATGTGAATATTAGACTTTGAGTTTCATGTGAGCAGTAATATTTAGGAAATGTGAAAATTAGTCTTGGGAGTTTCATGTGAGCAGTAATATTTAGGAAATATGTAAATTACAAGTATAAAACTTGCTGACTTCATTGCACCTTGATTTGGATTCAATCCCAGTCTATAGTTGAGTAAAATGGTGTGCTTTCTGTAGTCTAGGTGAAATCTTAATATAAAAGAGACAAGCTGAAGGAAAATGGAGTGTATACATTGTACCTATGCAAATATCTATCAAATCTTGTACAGTTACAAGGCAAATTACTGCCAGGTATTACAGGATACTTTCTAGACTAAAGTAGTTTTCAAAAATACAAGGACATATGTAACTACATATAGTAACAAGCCCTTCAATAAATATTGTTTTCAAACATTTATACACACATCGGTAAACACCAATGTTCCTTCAACTGACAATGACATCTAAAATACCTGCACTATTCAAAATGGCAAATAAATCATGAACACATAATGAAGTTTACTTCTGTATACCACTATTTATTGTTACTTCAACCTGTAATACTTATCATTCTCATCGCAATAGGAAACAAGAGGTCATGATTCGTTCACTGTGTAAAATTTAATGTTGTTTTGTATAATCTTGCATAATTATTACCCACTGAAAATTGGAGCTAAGTTACAGAGACTCAAGTAAACTGATATTTTTTTTGCAAATTACCTAAAAATTTCAAATTGGACTGATCAGATTGTTTGAAAGACTGATCATCAACTTCTTCACTACGTCAAAGTTTATCTTTAAAGAGAGAAAAAAAGTGAAATTACTTAAGATTCTGTCTGCAAAACTGAATCACATGCAAATACCTTGAAAATGTCTAGCTGTATTTTTACTATTTTTATTCTAATTTGAAAAAAATTCTGAAAAGCCAAACCTATTTAAGAAGCATATTTACAGACTGGTAACCAACAGCATGCTTCGGCCACCACTAACAGGGCAGTCTGAAGACAAGTGACCTTATGACACAGAGACCAGCACGTGAGGTGGACACATCTCCAAGCTGATCTATATTATCTCTGAGAATTACACTAAACCTGAAGCAAGTTCTATACATACAGCTTTAAGCTTCAGCAGTAACAGACTTAAATTTTTCAAAATTCAACCACAAATCTATTTACAATAGTCTACTATACATATCAATATGTTTGTCCCTGTCCTGTATACAGACACACAAGTCTGATATGCCACAGCCTAAGCAACCACTCATCCTCTCTAGAACGACAATTCCATTTCAGTGGAAAATGTAACAGAATTTGTTTCTGTTTAGGCTTGTGTAGTAACGAGACAAGATCAATTATTCTCATCTGTAATGTATTTGATGTCAAATGAAAGCGACAAATATCAATACAAAGTTGCATGACAAAAAAAATCTTCTACAACGATTTGCAAAACAATGATATATTTGATACAAACCAGCACAAGATACAACTGAAAACTGATAAGTCATTTCATACAGATATGTTATATTACTTTCTTAAACATCAAATATGACATCATTGATGAGCCACAACTTTAATTTGGATTTATCTATAAATATTTTCTTTTTAAACCTTAGTCAAATATCTGCAAATGAAACACCTGCAACTTCTGTATGTCACTGACTTTGGGATAAAATAGCACATCAGAATGTAACACAGCTCACTAAATATGCAATATTACATGGTATCCAAATATGCTAAAAAGGAAATATACAAATGTGTAAAATAAAACATTAAAACCTGTAGTTTACAATAAAATTGTGAAAAAAATAAAACATAAGATAAATATTGGAACCTGCAATACCTATCAGTGACCGTTACAGTGCTGACCCTATAGATATCAGTCAGTAGTTGCTAGAATATCATACTTCATTGTGTAACCCAGAGGGAGCTTGGAGGTGAAGGTGTTCCTTGGAAATTGGATCAATTAGGAAACTTAACAAATGGCGCTTAGAGAAGATTTCTGCTATAGCTTTGATCATTTTGAACTCATCTCCAAAACACTCTTGACCTGATAGAATAGCCAACCACCTTTGAAAGGCTTTTAACCACCTCTGATAAAGAGAACTCTTTTGAAACTCTCTGGGTAAGAGATAGTGGAGTATTTCTCTTTCTCTGCTATACTCCTTTCTGTACCAGATCTATTGCAACAGCTCTATTTCACTATTTCACTTATTCAATATCTACTTCAATTAACTCAACAGATGAATTCAGTTCTACAGATCTGATTGTTTCACAATAAACACACATACCTAAAAGGAATCTGAATTCTACAAGCTTTCTTTGGTATCCTAAACTACCTAAAATAGATCTAATTTTTTAAACGTTTTGTTTGGTATCTCTATACATCCCTACTACCACCCTGATGCAAAAACATTAAACAGAGAAAAACGGCCTGATGATGCAATAGATTTCCTAATGAGAACAATTTATGATCTTTGGAAGTATGCTTCTGAGTTAATTTAAACAACATGAAGAGCGACTGATAGATTGATTGTCTCCTCTTGTTTTATTTTATCCTTTACACCAGATACAACCTAACACTTGCTATCTATTTCCCAAATACACTATACTCTATTTGATAATGATAAACATTGCCTCTTGAAAATATTAATGTATATCTAAGTATATAAAATGTGGTTTTCTTACTGTAAGTTTGGTGCTAATAAATCTGGATAATTAAGTAACATCATCCAAAATAAACAGAATTTAAAAAAAAAAAAAAATGTCACAAAGATGATAACAGCAAATACAGGACAATCTTGTTTCGTATACAGTACAGCAAAGCCGTTTTATTTCCTTATCTATAACATTAATAGTATTTCCAAGATAAACCTGTTTGTCTAATCGAATCAATGACAAACTCCTTTTTTATTTTTATACCTACTGTTTGCACAATCAACCCATTGATTTTTAAACAATAACATCTCTTCATCACAGGATAATAAATATACCTACACAGAGCATACAATCAATCCCCGTATGTGATTTGGAGTGATCAAATGTCATGTGTAGGTACGTGTGATGGGCAAATGTAAATACACAAAATAACATAAAATAAGACATAAAATGACATCAGTTTGAATAAAAAAAATTGTACATATAGCATCTAGAGCAGTTGGTAATAACCAATGCTAAAATATTAAAAAAAAAAAAAAAGAAAAAAATTTTTTTTTCTATTTTTTTTTTTTTTTTTTTTTCCTCCAGACAGTTTTAGATTGACAGAACAGAGACTAAAGCATAGTGAAAAGGGAACAATAGAAACAAGAGGTACATTTGATTTTAGCTTGAGGTCTTTTCCACATAATTTGAGGGGAGCATGCCACGTTGACCTGTCCGCTCCACTGTACCCTCCATCCATCCTGGATCAATAATTTCACAGTTGATGATGAAATCCTCCTCACGGAAAGAGACTTCGTCGTCGTCCGCTGCAGTGTAGTCATACAGGGCTACATATTTCACCTGTAGGGACCAAAGAATTTATTTAGTATGTATTAGTCCTTGAGACAACCCAGATTAAATGTCTCTGATCAGGAGTATAAATATCTTAATATCTATCGCCTGCTGCTGCCTGTTTTACTCCTATTATCACCGCTGCCAGGCCAGGATAGTCAATCAGAGAGCCTTTGAATTACAACTTCATTTTTACCATAACAAATTCAAAAGCTGTTTATTTAACAAAAGATTTAATTCTGCTTTTAATTTAACTATTATTGTAAACAACATGTATAAGCACTACATTTCTATATCTTCATGAATTACAACGGACTTAGTTGCTGAAGCTTTCATCAAATCAACACAAAGCAAATTTGGTTTAAGGTCAAGCAAAGGAGTCTTTGTTTTCAATGATTTGACAAAGTTTCTTAAATTTTGACCCCGAGTTTGTATGACTCCTGTGAGTATTTAGGTTTTTATGGACAACTAGGGTTCAGTATAGTTCCTAAGTTAATTATATATTTGTTATTACCTGGTTTCTTTGGGGTTGACCAGGTGGTCGGTATGGCTGCTGTTGTTGTTGCTGTGGTGGCTGATATGCAGGTTGACGCGCTTGCTGGGGTTGAGCTAGAGAAGACAACAGGAAAGTGAGTACAGACATCAATATTAGATTTGATAATCCTGAAACCACAGGACAGCATTATGACACCAGTGATGAGAATAACCCGTTAAATATATCACTCTGTGCTGTATTTCTTTGAACTTACCTCCAAACACTTAAAATACATTTAAATCAAACAAAATAAGCTAACATGGCATGCAATATTACTACATCAACCTAAGTGCATTTATGATCTATACTATCCTAAAACACAAGGTGTATTTGTAAACAAAGTTTACTATTGTGGTGTTCTTCAGCTGAACACATTTCTCTACTGTGTAGTTTGCTGACTATGTGCAGGTGTTTAAGTTCATGGTAGTAACATATGTACAGCTCTGGAAGCACTGAACACAATGGTCCAGTCAGAATGCATTGTGGTATGACATGGTTCAGATTCAAGTGCAGTTTTACGGAGAAGCAGATATAAAGGGAACAGTAGAACACTACATGCAGTAAATATTCAAAGAATTCAAATGCAAAGATTATTTTATAATAAAAAAACAAAACAAATTGTCATACACCTGAAAACAAAACTTGAAAATATGAATAATATCCACATAAATTAAACAATGTTACGACATCTAAATACAAATGATGTATTTTCACTATCTTCAAATTAAAACAAACAAAAATAATCAAGATATTGGCAATAAAAATGGTATGGCTTTATATTGTTAAACACTTATCTATAAAGATTTGTTCACATGTAAAAGAAGTGGGCAGTGGCAGCGTCACCATCTATTATTTAAACAGTAAGAACAGTGTCAATTGACTGACAAATGAGTGTTGAAGACAGCCTTACATCATACCGGTAATTATTGGGAGCAGAGAGGGAGAGTTGACAAATAATATTATATACCAAGGATCTGTAGGTGAAACTGTGTAAGCAATAGAAAACATATATGAAAATTTCCTGATGCTCGCCCCAGGCTGCTCAAGTTGATTACATCATAAATGTTTTATGCTAAAAAAAACTTCCATCGTTAGAAGTTAAACTTAATACAATACGTAATCAAATGAAGTATAAGATGTTTGTGATGTGGTAGAGATGGTACAGTAGTGATCCTCTACTGTAAGGCTGCAGTGTTTGCAGTGGGAAAGCGTGGGTTGGAAGTTCGACAAAATCATCGATAGAAAATTGAAGTATGACAACAACAGTGCAAATACTTCTATAATAAAATTATATGTATTAGTGGTGCAACTATAAAATGGTAGACTGATGTCATTAGTGAATCTGTAGTTAGACGTCATTGGATTTGCAGTGGTGTTGATCTGCAGTGGATAACAGAAATCCAGGGCTAAGTGCAGCGGCATCTAAGGAGACTGTAAGACTAACTCACAACTCCCTGTCACGTTGTCGGAAGAAGCTGGTAATTTGAAGTCATCCGATGGAGTGAAACTGTCCTCAGTTGGAGGAGGAGGAGGGTCATACGCTGGAGGTATATCATTATCCACAGTTGGTGGAGAGGTATACATTGGTAGATTGGTGGGTGTTTTGGTCATCATTACAGGTGTGGCAAAATGAATTTCCATTTCTTTAATAGAATGTGGGCAAACAGCTAATTGTACATGTATTGAATTTACAACTGATCTTCACGCAGAATCATCATCTATTATTACAACTCTAAAATCTACCCTGTTATTCAATTTCTTTGCAAACATTAAGTTTGAACTTAAAACTACCCATCAGACTATCTTACATCTTGATGTGCAATAACAAATTCACCTAGGTTTAGTATAAACTGATTTCATCTGACCTTACCAAATTCTCAATTCTGCTTTAGAAGAAATCATTACCAATTTTAAAACATTCTGCTGTAGGAAAAATCTTTCAAAGCCTTTGGCAATATTGTATTTTACAATAATTGTACAGCATACAACCTCATTTACCAGGTGATATAAATGTTGAAACATCAACAGTACTAATGGATATACACCAGGAATAGAAATTTGAGTATAAATATTGTAGATTAATCAGGAAAAGTTGAAACAGAAAATACACTGAGGATTTTTATCGGTCAATTATTTGTTTTTATGATGTTTTAGTTCATGCTAATCTTTTGTATAGATAGATATCCTCATGCCAAGTCATGTACTCAATCTACCAAACTCAAGAGGTAGAATCTATCCATGTATTTAATCAGTTCATATCCCCATTGACTTTGGCATGACAACTGACAAATACATTGATGAGAAGAGAGGGATAATGTTGATATGTATGGGAGTAGAGACTTGCATATACCAGGTATTCAGTTGTCCAAGTGGACAGCCTACTCACTCGGATCCTCTTCTTGAGCACTAATCGCATCTTTCTCAGTGTCAACACTGTCTTCAGGGACAGGAGGGACAGTGGGAGTGGTACTAACTTGTTCCTCATCAGTTGTGATGGATGGGGTGGTAGTTGTGGGAATTTCCTCATCCATTGTAACAGAAGGGGTGTTAGTAATAGGGTCTTCTTCTAATTTAAAATGAGAATTACCTGCACAACAGTGCTTTTTTCATAATAACAGCTGAAGTGATCATGATCACAAACTACTTTAATAAAGTTGTGTGAGAAACAGAATTTGTAAATGTTAAGTTGTCTTTATGTAATATATGTACTGATTTTCTGGGTTATCGAGCATTCAAATGAATCAGCTTGTATAATCTACAAAAGTAGCTTTACCTTACCGAGAGAAACAGATACAGAAATGTGGAACTTTCTATCTATATATAAAACATGTTCATATATTGTATCAATATTTGCTTTCAATCATTTAAGTTTTCCATTGGATGTTGCATCAAATTTTTATCTCCATACATTATACATTGTACTTTAATAGCATAAATAAATATGAAATGGATAAAATAATCTATTATGGCTGTATATGTATAAAGGAAGAATAATAGGTGGTATTGTGCATAGGAGAATGATATGTTTCGAGAACTAGAAAATGTGGAATTTTGTAGTACATGGGAATGTAGAGGAGTTATATATATATATATCTACAGGGTTTTCAATGCAGGAATAGTAAAACTCTCAAGTTACAGGGTATGATTTGCCTTGATTAGCTGTGTACAATATTGATATAGCAGTGTTCAATAGGAAAATGTTCCTTGTAAATTTATTTTCTGCACAAGTTTAATCCCTGCTGAAGAAATCCTGTATATAAACATTTGATTTATTTAAGAATTATTTCATATTTCTAATTATAAAAAATATATGAAATTTTTAATTCTTTCTGTAAGAATTAGCAAAAAAGATTTCACATTTTTCAAGTGGTGTGTCAAAGAAGTTTTAACAAGTTCTTCTACAATGGAGAAGGCACAGCTGGTAGTATGAACAAAAACGATAATGGTTCACTACAAATTTTGCAAATTTCTTTTCCTTTTCCAGTCTCATTTTACTGTTCCATTATCTGCAGCTTTTTTCTTAAAAGTTGGCGGAAAAGTGTTGACAACTCCAGCATTATAATACAATGGTGTTAAAATTTCACTACAACTATTATTCAGACTAGCAGGTGTTATCAAAAAGCAGAAATACACTTCTCTCATGTAAAAAAAAAAAAAAAAAATTTAAAGCAGAATTAATTTCATATCCTCACTTCACTACAGCACTTTACAGAAGTTACGACAAAGCATATAATTCAAATGTTTATAATCGATGTTGAAAATTATTTCACTTCAAAATTTCTACCGCAAGCTAAAGCACTAAGATCATAGACCAGATGTGGACATGTAAGAGAAGAGGGCAGAAATAATTGTCAGTGGAAAGCAAATACAATTGTATACCTGCTGTAAACCAACTTACCAGGGAGTACCTCAACAGGGTTGTATTGAGGAATAGGGTCTTCCTGTTGTGGTGGAGGAGGAAGTTGTTGTGGTTGTTGGTGCCCTGACAATGTTGGAGCAGTTACAATAAAATACCATGTTTTTCATTTTTAAAGTTTGGCCACATTGATTTAATTTTTCTTAGAAGTTGATAACTTGCCTTTTCTAGCTGATCGATAGTTAATAACCACTGCCAGATTATCAATGTATACTAATTACATATCTTATTTTAAATAAATATCTTGTGTGTCATTGGTTAGGATCACTTAACATTCTTCCTCTGAGTACAAGATAAATCTTCCTCAATTGAATACCTGAACAAATGGTTATTGTGATGTTGCCTTAAAATAGATGTATCAATGTATCTATGACTGAGGGGAGAAAGTCTAGTATTGATGACTCTCGTGTATTACTGAGGGGAGAAAGTCTAGTATTGATGACTCTCGTGTATTACTGAGGGGAGAAAGTCTAGTATTGATGACTTTCATGTATTACTGAGGGGAGAAAGTCTAGTATTGATGACTTTCATGTATTACTGAAGGGAGAAAGTCTAGTATTGATGACTTTCATGTATAACTGAGGGGAGAAAGTCTAGTATTGATGACTTTCGTGTATAACTGAGGGGAGAAAGTCTAGTATTGATAACTTCTGTGTATTAGAGGGGAGAAAGTCTAGTATTGATAACTTTCATGTATAACTGAAGGGAGAAAGTCTAGTACTGATGACTTTCATGTATAACTGAGGGGACAAAGTCTAGTAGTGATAACTTTCGTGTATAACTGAGGGATTGATAACTTTCATACAGACCTACCTTCAATAAGATGATTCAATAATTGTAAGTCTACACAATAAGATGCTGTTGAATTTCTTCAGATGCCTGGCAAGCTGAAGCTTGACTTAACAGAGTGATAACAGTAATCATGAGCTTTAATAAGCCACTAAATGAGTGTAATATATGAATGGTGAATCTAGCGATGACCTATCATATGATTGCACCTTTTACAGTGGAATAGCATATGTGTAGCATATATCAATGAAGCCTTTTAAGTCTAGCAATGTATGATATATATTTTTTAGTAAAGTCCAATGTCAATGCTAAACGTCAGAACACTTGGCCTCCTATTTATCACTACCATATAAAGGAACATTTTTTTTCAACTTGATTTCCTACAACAAGCATGGGTTCTGGGTTCCATGCTCCTAGTTTCAGTCAAACATGGTCAATGGATCATGACAATTAAATACTTATTCAGATTGCACAGATTTTTTCTGATCCAAGATATGAAACTCTATGGAAATGTTTTAGGTAGATCCTTAGTTCAAATTTCACAACATCTGGATATATTTGTCATGTAACCTAGGACATATCCATCATTTACATATCTCTGTAAAACCATGGTATTAGAGATTTGATAATTAAGACCATCCAATGATGTAATTAAGTTCTGGGATATACCTGAAGGACTACATCAAAGTATATATAGTGTACAGCATTTCAACATTAACTGACGAGAATGAAACAATATCAAAGTTGCAGGATTTTTTTATCCAACATTTTTTTAGGATGAGAAATTGATTATACTTTGATCTTTAAAGAGATATTTCACAGAGGAGGGACAACTTCAAGACAAAGGAATTCGTCAAGGTTTTAGGGCAACTTTTAGGATAAGATCTTTCGAGGAGGAATTGCTAAATTTGAAGGCTGAAACACCACATCCGGGTTGACAGACAAAATTGAGATAACATAAAATCAAGGTCACAGGACAATTCTGAGTCCAAGGGATTAAGGGTCTGTTTAGAAAATGTAGATCATATCTGGCATGATCAGGTCTTTCAGGACTTACCAGAGTATTGCCCAGCAATGGAACCATATTTCTCATTTACAGGATCGTAATCAGAAATTGATCCAACTTTTCTGCCATGTGATCCATTTTGAACTGTAAACAAAAATAACCAAACCATAACTCCTACAGTCCAAAATAATAATAAAATACCCAAAACAGGGGGAAATCTGAAAAAAATGGGCAAAAATCATGCATTCAAAAAATCAAAATAGGTTACAGATGGACATTCAAAAACAAACACGACAGAAGAAAACACGAGCAACCAGTCCTACAAATTATATTGCTGAATTATGAGTGTAATGGAGGCATACTGAAGTACATTCACTCAAGAGAATCCACCTACAACTCATTTGATGTTCTTTGAAATCTATAATTCACTAGTAGTTTTTGATGGAAAATCTAGATATGATGATATACTGACCATAATACTGATACATACAGTAGTGTTAAAAAACACAAACAAACATAAATAAATCGAAACAGTTTTAGTTTCACATCTGTAAATTGTGTATTACAAGAATAAAAATGCTGAAGCTGATATTTGAATTTTTCAAAATTCTAAACAATATGAAGCTTTGTTGAAAACAAATCAAATCAACAAAAGAAATTTTGAATGACGAGAAAAAATTTCATTATGAAGTTACAAGAAAGTTTGACTACAAAAAAACTGTGTGAAGTTTAATGGAAGGGAGAGAACCCTAATACTGAAGTTCATGTTTTCATGCTATCAATCATTTCTGAATTCAAAGTGACATTTCTATAAAAAAAAAATCCCAACAAATATTGATTATTTTCAAACCATTTCACAAATCTTGTTTTGAGTGGAAGCTTGTTAATAAATTCATGATTTCTGTGAAATTTCAAATATGTTAATTAGAAATGTCTCTTTGAAAAGCTATAGTTAATCATTGAAATACTTTTTGCAGAGCAATATATACCGACTTATACAATGTCAAGACAATTATTCATATTCAGATCGACATACACAATGTCAAGACAAGATTTACATACAGACAAACACAGTGTCAAGACAAGATTTACATACAAACACAATGTCTTGACAAGATATACATACAAGCACAATGTCACAACAAGATATACATACATATACAACATATATAGAGCATATCAATACCCATACAGTATGCATTCATAGATAACGTAATTCATTGTCATGAACATTTTGTGCAGCAATAAATATTCGCTATAAACATTTAACAAAGCCTATCATAACATTAGCCGTAGAAAGAGAATCAAAATACCATCACAGAAAAACTGTACAGCAGTTGGACAGATTATAGCATGCATTTGATTCTGACTGACCATGACTTGTAACACTACTGTACTGTAACACACACAGGATAGAAACAATACCATGTAACCACTCATGTATTAGGACACAGCATCAGTTACAGGTGCTAGCAAATTTAGAATTGAGCAATTTCTGACCACTTAAAGCCTTACATCGCACACTGTTTGTTTTGTACAGTAGTTACAAGTCGTCTTTTTGTTATTTTTGTTTTTTCCTTATTTATTCATTTTTATTAGTTTTATTTTATATATTTTTTTGTGTGTGTTTTAAATTATGTACTTACTTATTTCCATTGTGCAAAAAAATCTTGCCTATCATCTCCGAATCTTAACTCAAAATAAGAGCAATTATACAATTGTATAACAATGGTTAAAATAAGTACAACATTTATCCAACAACAAGTCTTCAATATGATACATTATAAATCAAAAGAATAAAACATTACAGGAAATATAATATACAAACATTTTCTGTTTATATTTTGTTAAAGTAATATATGTTGTCACCACTACAAACCACCATGGAACATTCTGCAATAAAGGAAGGAAGGTTCCACATATGATATATAGGGGTCTAAGAGGTTATCATGTGTACATATATATATATATAGAGTTTACTTTAATAATGTGTAACTGAAGTGATAAATTGAAGTTAGGCCCATGGCAAGTATATGTACATGTATATGAATGTCAGTTTTAAATAATTATGTTGTGTTACATGAATTCTTCAATATGAATGTGATATTTGAGTAATAAGAGAGAGAAGCTGGAATAGATCACCAAAGATTGAAGCGTTATTTTTTAATTTAATAGTACAGAATTCATCAATACCTGATGAAAATCTTTTCACCAAGCTGTAGCCTAAGCACAACATACACCCACAATTGAGTAATCAGGGTTTCATGTACATTCTACCAATTTTTACTTGAAAACAAATCTTTCCATGTTAGTCCATCCAAGGGATATTGGGTCCATCACCTGATCTTCAATCTAAATCAGTTGTAATCCAACCACTTCTCATTATCAAAAAAATATCCATGCACATGATTTACATTTATGATACAAGTATACTACCATTCATGCCTTTGACATTACTGTTTTTCCTCAAACATCCCTCCAAATGCAAACTTCGAAAATTAGAGTTACCTCCAATCATTTTCTACTTGATAAAATCTTTTGACATCTATTTATATACACTACTGACAATAACACATCATGATTAAACCGGACAATCCTATCTATTGTTTTACTACACAATCAACATCTTGATAACAGGAAACCCTTGTTTTATAATTTTGACCTATTACTACAAATAGAAAAAAGTCTTTGTGCGAAAATCAGACTTAAAGATGAAACACCTTCCAAGTCTTTATGTAACATTCACTTATATGAAAATAGATGGAAAATTCTGATTTTATATTAGGCAACACATTTATCAAACACCTGCTTTAGTAAATATGCAGAGCATATTACAATGAATTTTGCTTTGAAGCATCACCACTTCATTCTTCAAACAAAATATGAAAAAAATTGATATTAGTTGAATGTGTCTACTTTGAAAGAAGAAATTTCAAAATAGACTTTTATAATCGTGTCAGAATTTTACATACAAATAAAATTAAATGAAACTGAAAATGTAAAAGTAAAGAATAGCAGAGTTGCTAAGATGAGTTGAAGCATATAGATCAGTAGCTGTATCCCGTATTACTTACTGCTACTTGATGATCCTGTCGAATAGCGCTGGTGAGAATCTGAGGTTATGACAGAAACGAAGCACTTCTTTGTTAGAACATGACAGTACTAACAACATGCAAATCCGACAAATATCACACAAATTTTCTTTCTAACAAGCTTAGGCTCAGCTCTATCAAAATGCTTCACATGTTTCACATAACTATAACATTCACTTCCTGATGTATTAAAAGAGTTCATATTTACTCTGTGTTATAATTATACAGGAGTTTGTGATGTAACACACTCCTGTCAAGTCTTCCTATTTTGGTAGAAGACAAACATTATTCTTCTGTTTACTTTTACAGCTTGATTCCCTACAACTTGTATTTCATTGGAACTAAGTAAAGGATACGATACACATCAAACATGTACTATTATTTTGCTCAATAAAGGTCATTGTCAGTTTCTAGGCATTTCTATGATTCAAATAAATCTTATTTTGAAAGTCAGCAAACTTTGAGTACAGGCCATGATATAAATGTTTTTACTAACTTGTCAAGGACAGTCTGAAATTCTCTATGCATAATTTCCCCTATTAATTTTTATAACATAAACTTTCATTATTTTAAGAATGTTTGATTTACCAATGAATTATGAGAAAAAGTCTTCTGTTGAAAATATCTGGGAACTAAATCCTTCAAATCGAAGTAAAGATGTAGAAATTAGAGTATGGACTGTCCAATCAAAAGATGTTGTAAAGGGTAACCTGCTGCAAGAATTCGTTATTTGTATGTAAGCTTTTTGTGTTCCCACAAATGAATTTAAGACGTCTGTTACACATGCTGTTTGATTCCTATTAAGCAGACTGCCTTGATCAGCTGTATGTAGTAATACTACTCATGCCAGTTATAAACAAAGTGTTGCCCTTCTCTCTGGCCTTAAAACAGCTAGCTCATCAAGCCACTGGTTACCAACAATGCATACATCTATGTTTCATCTCTAAAACAGTAGTTATTATAAATGATGTAATATTTTCTACTGAATTCAATGAAATAGGCATTCCAGTAGCACACATAGTAGAAAATCACATTAGATGGCCAACAATTTTTAGTATAAACATAAATGAAAAGTCAAGATTGTATACTCTACTGATTCAGTTTATCGAATGAGGGCTCTAGATAAATGTCATTAATTTGTAATTTTACATTTTTTGGTTGATATATTTTTCCAGGGAATAACAATAAAAATCCATACCTCTATTTCCCAGAAATTTAGCTTAATTTGAAATCAAAGTCTATGAAATACTTACACGACATGAAGGCCAATATTAACTATAAAGGTTAAATGGGAAAAAAACAAACTCATCCAAACAAAGGGCAGAACAAACTGCACAAAACAGCAGGTATGGAATTCTATCAAAGATAGCATCTTGTTAAAATCATTTGAAAAAGTAAACTAGTGATTCAATCTTAAGAGGCATGAATGGAACAGGACTTATTGGAAACCTAAAGGTGCAGAGACATGAATGGAACAGGACTTATTGGAAACCTAAAGGTGCAGAGACATGAATGGAACAGGACTTATTGGAAACCTAAAGGTGCAGAGACATGAATGGACAGGACTTATTGGAAACAGGACTTATTGGAAACCTAAAGGTGCAGAGACATGAATGGAACAGGACTTATTGGAAACCTAAAGGTGCAGAGACATGAATGGAACAGGACTTATTGGAAACCTAAAGGTGCAGAGACATGAATGGAACAGGACTTATTGGAAACCTAAAGGTGCAGAGACATGAATGGAACAGGACTTATTGGAAACCTAAAGGTGCAGAGACATGAATGGAACAGGACTTATTGGAAACCTAAAGGTGCAGAGACATGAATGGAACAGGACTTATTGGAAACCTAAAGGTGCAGAGACATGAATGGAACAGGACTTATTGGAAACCTAAAGGTGCAGAGACATGAATGGAACAGGACTTATTGGAAACCTAAAGGTGCAGAGACATGAATGGAACAGGACTTATTGGAAACCTAAAGGTGCAGAGACATGAATGGAACAGGACTTATTGGAAACCTAAAGGTGCAGAGACATGAATGGAACAGGACTTATTGGAAACCTAAAGGTGCAGAGACATGAATGGAACAGGACTTATTGGAAACCTAAAGGTGCAGAGACATGAATGGAACAGGACTTATTGGAAACCTAAAGGTGCAGAGACATGAATGGAACAGGACTTATTGGAAACCTAAAGGTGCAGAGACATGAATGGAACAGGGCTTTTTGGAAACCTAAAGATGCAGAGACATGAATGGAACAGGGCTTTTTGGAAACCTAAAGATGCAATGAAATGCATGGCAATGATAATTCTACCACAAGAAAGTCCTACTAAAACTTTAGGGAAACAGGGATGAATTCAGAAATGTAAAAAATATTATCTGGTTTAACAAGCAGTGAGGATCAGCACAAAAACTTGTGGGATGGATCTGATGTACTAGCAGTCTCACAACGGACTGTATTTTACTTTGTCAGTGTGTTAATACCGACAGAGTAGCCATGCTGGAGTCATCATCACCAACAAGGCAACTCACACAAACCAAGGGCAGATTACTCACCGACCCGAGCGCTTGAAGGTTGCCATACTGTATAAGCGGGGGCGTTACCCCCTTGTTGTTGGGGAGCCCCGCTCCCCGGGTATTGGGGGTTACCCCCCTGGTACGCCATTGGATTCTCATACACTAAATAAGATGTAGTTACTTAATTGACTAGCTGGAGAATCACAACTATAGGACACTACAGAATTTACAATTTGATCTCCTGACTGTTCTATTTACCTATATGGGCAGAAAGGTGAATGTTTATAAGCAACACCTAGAATAAACACTATGGAAACTATAAATAACAGAATCAGAAATCTGGAATGTTGCTGACGTGTGAAAAATGAGAAATATTGGTTTAAAAATATTTCAAAAGTAAGGAAATTTTGCTAAACCAAAAGCTAGAATATTTTTACTGAAATCTACACATTTAGAGAATAAATTAGATAAAACTAGCCTGGGACTAAGCTAACTGTTGATGTTCTACTTAAACTTAATCTTTTAAGGGACATTGACTACTTAAGACTTTTTCAGATCTGGCAATTAAACTTAAACTTGAGACACAGATTGAGCCTGTGTAACAAGGGAAACAACTCACCTACTCCAGTTCGGGAGTCGTACACGGCCGTGCCTTGTGACTGGCGCTGGGAGTATGGTGTTCCCATCTGATTTGCAGTTGGATCGTAGTCACTTATACTCCCAGGCTGGCGTCCACGAGGATCATAGTCACCAGTGCTCCCGGGACGACGTCTACCCTGCCCCTGATTAGCTACAAAGAGGCAAGGAATGCATCGCAGGTTCATGCAAGGGGTCAACATTTAAAATGATGTTAGAACCAAGCCATATTTGTGCATCAAGTAAATTGCTTGCTAAAGATCTGGAAGATTTAATCTCCATATTGTGAATAAAATAAAAAATGAATGTGTGATGTAGAAATAACTCCAAGAACATTTTAGTTATAACAGTTAGACATGTAAAGTAAAAAGTGTGATATCCAGATCTGTAGCCTCTGAAACTATTTGTTAATACATGTATAGTATGTGCAAATTACTCTAAAAACCAATAACCAAAATTCAGTGATCAATATACATTTCTGTGGTTCAAACTAATCCAAAAATTAAATCATAACAATAACGATTATCTCCACCAGCTACTAATTTACATAAACATATTCAACAACATTGAAACAATATACATTTGGGACAAGGGGAGTGACAGCAATGTCTTATATTCTGGGGGTGGTAAAGCCTGAGGTGAGATATAGAGCAATGTCACCAATACTGAAATGCCAAACATTCCAAATACAGTAAATCAAAGAGCAGGGTATTGAAATTTAAAAGCGGACATCTAACTATCATGCCACTGTATAATCCATCATGACAGTGCTCACATAGTCTCATGCATCATATAGCCATATTTCAGTACAGATCCATATTTTATCTACCAAAATTACTTTCTTTTCATAAATTCATAAATATTGCAAATTTACAGATGAACTGATCATTTGGGTTGGGGATAGAATGGGTTTGTTTTTAGTTTCAAGAGCAATAGAAATATGTAACCTGGTGGTAGCAAAATAAGTGTCTTTATAAGAGAGATTCAAAGTTGTGTAAACATAATGACTATTATATTGCTGTGATTAGCCATTTATTTAAAAATACATGACTTATCTTAATTACACACCGGGATACTGAAAGTATACTTACAAACATAACAAATTTATAAAGAGGTCACAATGACCTGTTTTTTTAAGGTGGGTTATTAAGACATAACTTCCGAAGATATCTTTTAAGAGTTTAAAACTTACATATCCTATACAAGATATTATGTCAAATGAAACTCTACTCTCAGAATCAGAAGTAATCAAACATTCTAGTCTTAAGAGAAGAACCAGAAAAATTGAAATGTTCTAAACAAAGATATAGTTTTTTTTAATCAATCCTTACTTGCAAATGTTGAAAGTTGCACCATCAAATTTTGAAAAACTGAATGAAATTTTTTATTGATAGGTAAAGGGGCTGTCTTTAGCTGATATAAAAAGGGATGTATATAGAAGAAAAACATTTTACTTCTCCACTTTGTCACCATACCTTCCTGTTCAACTGGGCGGTTCATTTCCATTTGGTTTCTCTTATGTATGTCTCCATGGTAACTGATGTTGCTGATGGTCTCCATGTTTTTCCGCACACGCTTTGTCTCTGGATCATCAGCAATTGAAATCTTAGCACCTTTTGATTTCTCAAATTCTGCATGATATTTAATCTGCAAGCATGAAGGAATCAGCATTTTGTTAGTTCATTAGGTTAACATTAAGATCTAGTTTCTTCCCATTTCTGTAGAAACAACCCTGTAGATTTATTAACACTATTCCACATCATTCACATATACACTGTATCAGTAGTTATGGATTTTAGAAATAACAGACTGATAGTAGAATGTCTACTGTCCAGCTATGTTCAAGTGATTAAGACAATTCCTTCCTTCTTTAACAATTAGGTTTGGTATTCCTTTTCATTAAAAAAATAATTGAATACTCTCTTTATATGCCCATCAACTCCATTAATTCTAGCACTATACACAAGTCTGAGTTATAATTACAGAACTGTAAAATTCATAATTTGTTTACTACAATAAATCAACTCTTATTATTTAAAAAAAAGTATTTATGTGTTTGATATATCATAATCATGCAAGCTCTCTTATTGATGTGTCAGATGGACCTTGTCTAGGGGAGATGTCATTCATGCTGAAATATATAAATCAATGTAAACAACTGTTGCCCTATGCTTTTTAAGTGACATGCTGTGTTATGACAATAATTTGGACTTATCAGATCAACAGACATTGCTGTACTAATACCTCTGCTCTCATTTACATTGTGATTTTATACCCTCAACTACCGAACAATTAGACATACAGAATTAACTGGTTGAGTGGAATTTCACTAAATTTGGATAAAAACTGTAGAGATGACTAGATAATATTCCTTTGACAGACATAGAAAAGGGGCATAACTCTGTCGGATCAAGTTACAGCTAGAACATTTACCTTTTATTGTGAAAATGATATATGTTTATCAAATCTCAATGAATTCTAGTATTACTCCTGTAAACTAATATGAAGTCTCATCAGAATAATTATCACCTTTTCATTGTGAGTCATGTGTGCATGTTATCTTGAAATTATAATGGATACTGTAGCAGAAGCTGTAATTTTAGCAGCAAATATAGTTTCCAGTTTATTGCATACTTTCCTGAAGTAAAAGATACAGGATAACTGTATACTACAGAACACATTGTCTCCTGGTACTTCATTGTGTTACTCTTTATGGTCAACAATTTTATCATTCTATCTTTAATCTAGAATTTATGTTTATACAAGAGTCATGCAACCACTGTCAGGCAAACATGTAGCTTGCCCTGATACCATATTTACATAAATGTCTCTGTCTTACAAAAATCCCTGAGTACAAACTACTAAAACTCTTCAGTGAATAACAAACAACTTAGTGTGTACCTTTTCAATGCAGAAGAAAATGGAGGAAAACTTATAGAATATTTCTTCAAGGAGGGTGAAAAACAAAACAAAAATTACCACAGAGTCAAACAACCATGGTTACAGTACAAAACACAGGAAGTAGCCTGTGGTGAAGGGGGTTTAGGTTGTTGATGTGATCTATTTTTTAAAGGTTAACAGAATCATTAATGTTCCTTTATTTCCACTTTTGGGATTTTTGGTGGGTAAAAACACAAAAGAAATAAACAAAAATCGTGGGATAAAATTGCCATGCCTATGGGTTACATTAAAGCGTTATACCGTACTGAAATTGTCAGTATTTCGAAAGTGAGTTCTCATTTCAACGGTGTCACATATTTGGTTACACGTTCCACGTTGAGTTGTAAACTCTTTCTGATATTCTACCTGAAAATGATGAAAAACAAAGCGACATGGAACAATGACAAACCTGACTAAAACATAACCTTGGAGATCCATTATACAGTACACATTTCTGCTGTGGGGTAATAAAATTTCATAAGTTCAATTATCTAGCATTTTGTGATCTTCCTTGACCTAAGACAAGAATTGTGATGCCTAACAAACAAAATTTTACATTGTCTTTACCACTTTTTGGTTTTATTGGAAGAAAGTGAATTTCTTCCATATGTACTTTATAAATACCTCAAACCTTTATTGATTGTTGGAATTTAGAAAATGTTCAGCAGTACTTAGATAAACTGAAGTTAAATGCAAGATTCTTTTGCTTACACTTTCTGAATGTTACAACGTGTTATCATCAGGTTTGTCACCTTAAAGCAATTACAACCAAACAATTAAGCATAACACTTATAACCAAAAAAAAAACATCAACCTACAGTGAGACTACAACAAAAAAGACAAAGATTCATGGAATATTCTTACATCACACACAACAAAAACATGAACACAACTGCTTTTAATTTACATGGGACATTCCAACTAAGAATTTTACTATTTCTATTCAATTTTGGTACTGTTAACACTTAATTTGCCAAAACAAAATTGACAAAAGTATGCATATATATAATAACACACAAGTCCTTACACAGTAATAAGGTATGTGATAAACAGAATCTAGACTTTGTTTCCACTTTATAAGAGATCTGTAATGTTTCTGCTTCATATGAGATCCACCAAACTCTACACAAATATTTCACTTGTTTTGGAAATATCATAAGAAATGGCAACACATTAAAGATCTCTAAGAAACCACTTGTCATGCATTTGAAATCAATATAACTGATGTTATGTCACATAACATAGCAAATATTCTCTCAAAGCACATTACATGTTAGTATAGGCAAAAAATCATTTTAATTTCAAATGGACTAAAGATGGGTCATGTCAGCATACACGGCTAAGGTGGTGGTATTTTTACATTCTAAAGGGCAGCAACTCTATGGGAAATTACATAGTAAGGTGTATAACAGAACAAAACCAGGTCAAATTGAACATTATGAATCTATAATGATCAACCAATTCATTACATCAGCAGTTAAAATTCATGGATACAAACTACATGAAAAAGTAATAATACAGAACTTTGTTGTAAAAACTTGAGGTTGTATAATTTAACTGAGAGAAATATTTCAGCTTTTCCTGTACACAGAACACAGAAAGTAAAATGATTACACAGTCAGAAAATCTCATTAACCATTACAACTTTTCATGATATTCCCTGGTGTAAGTACTTAGACTCACAGGAAAATGGACAGAAAGATATTTCTGTGTGATGTTTAGGATTAGTATATCAATTCTACAACTGATATGTGGTGATGGTATGTGAAGTCTGCAGGATACAAGCTGTAGAGTTTATGTCTGATAGTGTCATATGGCAGGTATTGTCATGGAGCTGAGAATAACAGTACCTATTGTCAGGGATGAAACCTGTTAACCACACCCGGGAAAGCTACCGACATTTCTACACCAGGCAGTCACCATATACCTGGTCACAAGTCAAGCATCAGTGATAAATAATGTCACATACATCCGGCAAGGAAAGCATTCAAATTGTTCTAACTCAAATTCAAGGTTAATTCATGCCAAAAACAAATCAACAAAAGGAATGACAATCCTGAAACTAAACCCAAAATAGATCACAATACCAGTCATCTCAATCTTAATCTTAACTCAGAGGTATCTGGGAGTTGGCAAACATTTCAGGAAACTGTAGTAGGAAAATCAACAAAATAGAGTTAAGGAATAAACTTCAAAGTGCTAAATACATTTCTTATAACAAAATACAAGTTGAACTATTCAACAAGGTCAAAGTTCAAGGGTATAGTAGCAAAGGTCATGAGTCAATGTCATTCCGTGTAACAAGACACACAGCATGTCCGATTACCAAGCTAATGTTCTTGGTGTTGTCCCGAACTCTTTTAAGGTCTGGAGTATCCACTACCGGTGTAAATTGGTCCTTCGACATCTCAAAATCTTTGTGATATTGTATCTGTCAGGTAAAATCACATGTATTCACTAATAATGCTTTTATAATGATTTCCAAACATCCCTTCCCTCCTTTCCATCATAGAAAAATGTTGACTGAAACAAATGTATGGACATATTAACTTGATGATATGAAAATTAACATTAAGAACTAAATAAATATTGAAGATGACAATATACTTTTCTTAATCAAAGGCAATAATGATAACCAATTGCTCAGCTGAAGAGATTTATCCATTTTATATTTCTCCATGCCAACCAATGTGTAGAAAAATCACAATATTATCCAATTATATATTTCACATCTGCTTTGTAAATCTGGTGGTGACAAATGACTCTAGACTGTTACATGAAAGTGGAGATCTTGTAACAATGGCCAGAGTGATTTATACACCAGAACATGGTAACCATAGAAATGTGAGCAGTAACTGACCAGAAATACCTATATCAAGTTAAAATACAGTAATCATACAATTGTCATGACACATCAATGAGGTTGTATAGACTAACAATTTTGATATCACATACCAGGGTATAACAGATTGTGTAAACTGTTCTCCCCACTGTAAGTTAGACAAGCTATAATGCAGACTAACTCAAGTTTAAATTTGGAGATAGTCACCAGACTAAGTGTAGAACTATGCTGCAGACTGGTAAAGCTGAAGTTTAGAGCTACATTGCAAGGCCTACTCAAGTCTAAAGCTACACTGCAGATTAACTCTCAAGTCTAAAGCTACACTGCAGACTAATTCTCAAGCCTACAGTTACACTATGGACTAACTCTCAAGTCTAAAGCTACACTGCTGACTAATTCTCAAGTCTAAAACAACACTGTGGACTAATTCTCAAGCCTACAGTTACACTACGGACTAACTCTCAAGTCTAAAGCTACACTGCTGACTAACTCTCAAGTCTAAAGCTACACTGCTGACTAACTCTCAAGTCTAAAGCTACACTGCGGACTAATTCTCAAGTCTAAAACAACACTGCAGACTAATTCTCAAGTCTAAAGCTACACTGCTGACTAACTCTCAAGTCTAAAGCTACACTGCCGACTAATTCTCAAGCCTACAGTTACACTACAGACTAACTCTCAAGTCTAAAGCTACACTGCAGACTAATTCTCAAGCCTACAGTTACACTACGGACTAACTCTCAAGTCTAAAGCTACACTGCTGACTAACTCTCAAGTCTAAAGCTACACTGCCGACTAATTCTCAAGCCTACAGTTACACTACAGACTAACTCTCAAGTCTAAAGCTACACTGCTGACTAACTCTCAAGTCTAAAGCTACACTGCTGACTAACTCTCAAGTCTAAAGCTACACTGCGGACTAATTCTCAAGTCTAAAGCTACACTGAAAAATTCAGTTGAAACTGATAACATTTACAAGCAACAGGTCTTATAAGGATATTGATGCCCATCTACTTAAGATTTTTTCTGATGTCCCAAAACTGGTAAGGTAAAACTGAGGACAAAGCATAACCTATATATGCTATTTGCTAATGATCCATCTAGTACTTTTCAAGATCCAGTGAAAACAAGTTTTAACTTTTATAATTCAAAAATGCTAACGTGAGAGATTGGCAATGTGCAGTTTAATTATCTTGAGACATTACCTTCAAAGGATCTTGAGAAATAGCATTAATTAATGGCCGAATTCAAAATAGAGGCTGGCGACCATCTTAAATGTCTGGTTGAATGAAACTTTTTTAAAAAATGAGGCATTAATCAAGGTCCCATACTTTACAGGAAAATAGTTTTGTGGAGATCCCTTCAGTCATTCTTCAGAAATACAGGTAAAAATACTTAAATCCTAAATGACCACACCCATCAGCTTGAATATCTGATGGAGTTCCAACTCTAACCCTCACTACAGTAAATGTTTACAACATGGATTGATGGACTGACTGACAAGAGAAAAAAGTTATTTGAAAAGCCCATTGATGATGGTAGGCTGAAAAAAGGTCAAAAAGACATTATTATTGGTCCAAGTAAACCAGAATTACTCCACAATTTTTACAAACTGTGTATTAAATGGAATACTATCATGCCAAGTCCATGCATCCTTATAATACTAATTACTGAAAGATCAATACCATTTATGATTCAGCTCCTCATAGGATACTAATATGATATTGTAAAATACTAATGTGATATTTTAAGAAATAACACTAGTGTTACTGAAGGTCTACTTGTTTCGTCCTGTTATGTGTCTGTCATCAGGACAGCAGTACAATGCCTAGAGGTGTGAGAAAAATAATATATACATAATACATAGTGATGGTCCAATTATGTGGTGAAATTGTCCTCCTCTTTCGAGTCAGAATTAAGGAATAAGTCTTGCTGTTGGATGGTATGATACTCTGATGTACTGGACTGGAGAATTAGCAGGTACAATTTTAAAGATCATATCGTCAGTTGATTCAAAGGCGGTGTACAAATTGATTAATTTTGATATTGTAAAGAAAATATGGCCCTTCAATATATTAGGAAATGAACTAAATCTAAATTCTAGCTGCCAAAATTCCATATATAATTCAATTAAAAGAAGTTAAGGATTAAAATTAAATGATGCATTTATCAAATTTTCTTAAAATTACATTCCTTTCATAACTGACTAAGACAAATGACAAAAGATACATTTTTTATATGAAAAATAGCAAATATGATTCACAGTTAAGTTTTGCAAAACAATCATATGTTCTAAAGAAGTCACTGATCTCACTGTAGATATATATAACATTTTTAAGTGTCGCTACAATTCGGAAACTGACAACAGATATCAAAACTTGTGCAATATGATTCACAGGAAACAAGTATCTTTATCTGGTGACTCAGCTCCTATATTCAAGTCATTATAATTTGAGTTCCAATTCAGTGTTAAGAAACAGACGTGATATTTTTCTATTTTACTGAACAGTTATGCATGTACATTTATAGATAAGATTTGTTGCAAGAAGAATATTTTTTTTTCAAATTATCTTTTTGAAAAGCTGAACCATAATGGCATTTGATAGATCAGTCATCCATCATTTAACAGGACTCATGTGAGAGTTATTTCCTCTGCATACTAACAATTAAAACTTACTACAACAACAAAAAGCCGTTGACATCACACAATTACTATGGTAACAAGTTGTAGGTCAAATGTGCCTACATCACACAATTACTATGGTAACAAGTTGTAGGTCAAATATGCCTACAGATTGTGCCTGACAAAACAAAACTGATGACATTTTTGATGACAATGGGTAGGAATATTACATACATTGAAATTCACAGTAAATCACTTAATAGAATAATTGAAACAACATTTTCAGCAGTAAGAGTTACTGCTCCTGATCTCACACAACCTTCCTAATATGAGAAAGTAAATAAATTCACTGAAATTAAGATGCTGGTACGTTTGGAACATTGACAAAAAGTTTCTTTTAGTAATATCAAATATTAATACTTTCAACAACAGAGTGAAATGAAGTGATATTTAATTTTTTTTTTTATTTTACACCATTAACAAGTGAAACTCAACAAGTTTTTAAAATAAACTTCAGTGTTTCCTTCAATATTCATTATAAGTGATTTAGAGTCAATACGGACATAAAAGTAATCGTGCCAAATATGTGTAAATTATACCGAGCTAAGATTTTGGGTATTGAGCAATAGTCGTTTCATGTCGACGGTGTCTGGCACCTGTGTGTATGTGCCTCTGCTGCGCTCGAAATCGCTGTGATACTGAACCTGTAGAGATCGCCAACCAAAGAAAGAATTCCCAAAGTCAAAAAAAAAATTAATTACAAAGCAATTCAGATGTCCTGCTTCATCAGTCCAGTAATTACAACATTACCAATTAAATGTGATCAAGAAAAATTATACATGCATGTGATTTTTTGTTTGTTTTTTGTTTTCCAAACTAGAATTTTAAAAGAGATGAAAGTATCATAGGAATTGTAACTATCAAAAATGTGACTATCAAAAATGTGAAATATGAAGGGCAAATATGTCCTAAAAAATATCCTTTTTTTTCATAATTACAATATCTATTGAATTTAGAAAATAATTATTTAAGGGCATTACGTAATCCTGATCCACATCATAAAGGATTTAATGAAGTTAACGTGATACCTTTACCACTGTGATTTTATAGTGAACTGCACTTCATTTAATGGAAAGAGAAACAAAACTGAATACAAAAAATCTACTACATATCAAAAGCATGAATGAAAATTAGAAAAAAATGAAAAAAACAAAATGAAAAATACAACATGGAACTATCTCTGTTGATCAAAAAACACACCATGCTGTGATTGTGATAATGTATCAAAGGTAAATGTATGTTCAGTTAGTGAAAATATGCATATAGCAATGTCTTAAAGTGTACCAAAAGGGAGATAATTATATAATTTAGATTCCAACAGAAAATTACTCTAAAGAATTTTCAAAATCTGTCTGTTATGAAAAACTCTTCCAGTTTATCCAGTTGACAAATTAGGATTCTTAGACGAATTCCTGAAATAAGAAAACAAAACTTTCTGCCTTCAAATGACCTTTTGACCTTGATTATTTAACAAAGACCCATGAGGTTACTTGACTTATGATACTGATGCCGTATCTGTTTATATACTTACATTACTCTGGATTTTTGTGTTTTCCGCAATTCTTCTGGTCTCTGGAGTGTCTGCCACAACTGTGTGTGTCGTCTTAGGGTAATGCCTATAATGTTGGTTTAAATCAAATTCAAAAGTTAAAAAAGGACTACAGAGACCACGAGAGACAGAAACATGGAAATCTCTCAGCAAGTGAATAAGAAAAAAAGCTCAAGTTAAAATTTCAACCAACTTTCAAAACATTGTCTAAAAAACGTTTGGCTAATTTCTTCCCTGATGCTTTTGTTGAGGTCTTTTTCTAGTGTACCCCACTTCCCTATTTTTTTTTTTTGTTTTTTTTTTAAATTCTTTTTTTGTAAACAGAGCAATAATTTTACTTACTTATACTGAATTTTTTTTATTCATCTTTAGCATGACACTGCAGATAGAAAAAATTCACTGGAATAGATAGCTTTATCTAGCTCATATATATTATAACTGTATGTCTCCTAGATATCATAACATTAAACTATATATGATTCCCTTCCACATCAGCTATATGTTGTCTTCAGATAAAATGTTCTATTTCCTGCTGCTGCATACTTATGACAATGATGTAACAAAACTGTACATCTGGATACACTTGACAGTCACTGAAACTGACTGACAATCCAGACAGCATATGTCGTTTCTCTTTCAGACTATATGAAGGATACATAATTATGAACTACAAAACCACTACAGGTACAGAGTATTTTCTTAACCGAAATAAATTCACATTTGATCTTTACTGCTTTGACATTTTATGATAATTTCACATATTCTTGTTTGTTGCAGAAATGTGTGAACAGCAATACAAGGACTGCCAGTCACAGGTCTTTTTACTCTAATACATTTGGGAGCCCGGCCTAGATCTGTTCAAACATCACAGCTGATCCTGACAGCTATCTTCCTCACAGCTGCTGCCTTTCATGCCTGTCATCATCACAGTACATTGGTGTAGACAGTGTTTAGATTAATGAAATAATTGTTATTATTCCTTATACAGACTTCAATTTTACTATCACATCTAGTAAATCACTATATATATTCTTAAAAAAAACCTTTTTAATCTTTGAAAACCATGAATTCCCCACAACTTTGGGAATGACTCCTTAAAACTTGTGACTCATGAATTCCCCACAACGTTGGGAATGACTCCTGAAAACTTGTGACTCATGAATTCCCCACAACTTTGGGAATGACTCCTTAAAACTTGTGACTCATGAATTCCCCACAACTTTGGGAATGACTCCTTAAAACTTATGACTCATGAATTCCCCACAACGTTGGGAATGACTCCTTAAAACTTGTGACTCATGAATTCCCCACAACGCTGGGAATGACTCCTGAAAACTTATGACTCATGAATTCCCCACAACGTTGGGAATGACTCCTTAAAACTTGTGACTCATGAATTCCCCACAACGTTGGGAATGACTCCTGAAAACTTGTGACTCATGAATTCCCCACAACTTTGGGAATGACTCCTTAAAACTTGTGACTCATGAATTCCCCACAACGTTGGGAATGACTCCTGAAAACTTAATGACTCCTTAAAACTTATGACTCATGAATTCCCCACAACTTTGGGAATGACTCCTTAAAACTTGTGACTCATGAATTCCACACAACATTGGGAATGACTCCTTAAAACTTGTGACTCATGAATTCCACACAACATTGGGAATGACTCCTTAAAACTTGTGACTCATGAATTCCCCACAACGTTGGGAATGACTCCTTAAAACTTGTGACTCTTACCAGGGAGTCCCAAATAGTATGAGCTTCAAGCCAACTTTGATTTTGAGTGTGTTACACCTTCTAATATTAAATAACACACTTTACACTATACAGAAATCAGGTTCAAATGTTGAAGCCTCTTGAACTTAGGCATAATAAAAATATTAATATGTAATACAACACAGAAACAGAACAACATTTAAAAGTACTTGAGAAGGATGAAAAAATTAAGTGGTTTTTTTTTGTACTGCCATTGTGTACAGATTGAAGTAATATATAAGGGAGAAATTTGACCCTGAATATCCTGTTGTGTAACAAGTACTGATATTGTTGGTTCTTGGTTGTCCTATTAGTTACTGGGCGGTGAAGATATTTTGATGTACTATAACGTAAACAACACAGTCTGCCTCCAACTATTATTACCCATCCATCATATGTTTCCTTTAAACAATACCTACCCAACCCAAATTACTTCCCAAGTCAAGTTTATCATTTCTAAAGTATGATAGACAACCTTATCAACAATGACATTCTACCATTCTTAGAAACCATTTTCTTCTAATTATAATCTACCTCTTTACCAGATATATCCTGTTAAACACCTTGAAAAGTCATTTTTTTCAGTCCTCCACTGCCAGACAAATCTCTGGTATATCTTGTAAATAGCCACTCAGTGGCTATACTTTTGTCTATATTGGTTCAGAAGGTGGTTCACAGCCAAATGGCCATAACTTTCTTTGTTAATGCAAAAGAACCAATTTACACTACTTAAGGTAGTTCACAATGAAAGGGCCACAAGCCCAATTAAAGTGGTTCACAGCCAAAGGGCCATAACTCTGTTTGCGGATATTTACAGCCCATGGGCCATAATTCGGTTTACGATGGGTTACAAGTGCTGATTTTAAATGACAAGGTTTCAAGAATTGTAGCTGAAGAAGTACATGAGATATGTGTCCTAGACAATCTGAAGCACATCTGGTGAGGTAGATGCAAACAAAAAAGGCAATTTCAGGAAGAAAATACTAATGCAGATATATGATCCTAACTTTGATCAAGACTTTTAAGTATTTACCTTACTCCTGACTAAGGTGCCTGATGATCATCTAACAAACATCATTTCTGGTAAATCCAACACCCAGCTTTTACTTGAAATGAATCATACCAGTTTGATTATACTTACGCATTGCAGTAAGGCAATTTGTTATATCCTTTATAATTCTTCATGTTAAGTGTCATCTCGCACACCTGACACCGGAAACATCCCTTGTGCCATACCTGAAAACATAAAATAATGACTTTCGTAAAAAGTTGTTCTATATTCAAAAACAGAAAACATTTTAAGATTAATATCCATAAGTTCAATGAAAGTCCCAATCTTTATTTATCAGGCAAAGACATATGCCTTGGAAATTGCAAAATTCAATCCTAGTATCAGAGTTCTTGAAAACATTGACATCATTAATACCTCTTTTTCTCATCTAACTGTAGCCATTTGCATGTTGTACCTACACAGTACTGCCAGCAATTAACAAGTACATGATATCCATTGTACTTTCTAAAACATTTCACTTACTCAGGAACTAAAGGTATAAATTGTATGGTTTTAACAGGCCAATAAACATCCATTTATATTACAATGGTTTTACTTTTAAGTTTTCAGTTATCAAACAACACCACCAAATACTAATTATAAGTCATTTCATTGGTGATTATGATAAATAGGCCATTCCCAGCATGTTGTTTAAACCAGAAAAGTTTGCTGTTGAGCAAAATTCCAGATGGTCATCATTTCAAAGCAAATATTGAGTAATCTGAGATAGAGGAATTCAAATAATAATTCAATGGGAGCTGGGCCAAATAGATTTGATATGCTTGTAATTTCTGGACACCACAGACAATTTTCTTGTTTTGTCAATTTAAATATGAGTGAATGTGGATATCATGTGATGTGCACATGCATGGCTAGCATGCTTAATAGACTTCATAATTGTATTTGTTTTAACCATTTTTAATCTTGGATCAAGAGAGTACATTTCATCAAACTTTTTATTACTGGTTGAGACAGAAACTTTCATCAACCTTTTCATTCTTGGCCAAGATGGTAATCAAGATATCTATATAATGAGCCAACCTGCGAATATTTATTTTATCAAAATCTTTTTTTAGACTGGCTAATATTACAATGCACATGACTCATGTAATGTTTGACCTTATAAATTACCACTTTAGATTATTAGCTATGTAATAGATTGGTAAATATAGATGTTCATGTTTTATCAGCGACCTCATCCTTAAATGTTTTACATAAGCACTTTAACAGCAGATAAAATGAAAGCCAGCAACCTCTTCAACATATTTAGTTTTGGCTATTTTCAAAACTATCTTTTTTTTTTTGGTGAAGATATCCAAATTTTGATAGTTTTAAGTAGATGCTATCATTACAAAATATGATATATGGATAAAAAAGCATGTCTTTGTGTTAGGTCTGAGTATATATAGATGTTGCAGAAACCTTACCTCATCTGATAACATGTCTACAAAAATTTATCATTCCCGAAGATGAAAAGGTCATAACAATATATACCTAAAAATCAATAGCTAATGTCAACATACAATTGAATGTTGCTACAGTAATCTTTGTAGTGTACAGGCTTATTAAGTCAAGAGATGGATCGAGGTTAATTAGGGGGGGTTATGGGTATAAAGAAGATGGAGTAGAAGCTTGACAGACCAAGGAAGATGAGGCACCACTGGTGTGAAATATTGCCATTAGCTTACCCAAGGATAATCTTTGGCAAATGGAATCTTAAAACTCCGGTCAAAATTCCAAGACATTAGTAAGAAAACATCTCTGAAGAAATTTACGTATTGTTTGTATGAAAAGTATAAATTCTCCATCTTGTACTAGACTGTTATAGTAGAATATGTAGTAAATTGGTTAAGATTAAATCTAAACTGAACTAAACAAGACACTTCATCAAATATTTTATTCTTGTTTATACTTGATAACTGCATTTGCTGTCTAAATCACACACAAACCAAGAAGAATGATAACGATGAGATCAATGAATAGCAACAACTAGAAGTGTTAATATTTCCCACAGTATCTGCTTCTTTATAGAGTTGTCCCAATGATGACAATACTAAAATTGCCTTCATGTAAAAGAGTTCCCCATCTCAATAAGTACTATGGCTAACATTTCTTTAACTACAAGGATAGGCTATACAGTGGAGTGTTTCAATATCTTAATTATCCAACATGTAACTAATACAGCACGGCACACATACATAGTATTAATATAAATAAGCTGTAAACCATTAGACATGTATCGGAATGGGAAGAATGGATAAATACATTGACTTACGTTACGTAGGATATTGTTACATATATCTAATTACCACATAAATCACTATCTATATCAACAGCTGTATTATGCTTACTGGTAGCAGTGGACATTGCAATCATTTGAAAAGATTTCTGATCAACAAATGTGTTTAATACATTTAATTAGGACAAAATTCACTTTCAGAAACGTTCATAGAAATGTAGGTATAATTTGGTAAAAAGTTTGTACAAACATCCCTGCCACGTCATTACAGAGTTGTGCCACTAGACCTTATGCTAGAGATATCCACCCACCCTTCAGTGTCTGTCAGACCTCACTACACATCATCATACAGCACTGTACATGCAGCTTGTAATATTACTTCTATTAGATGCAAATCTTTTACAGATACAAGTCCCATCCAATTATGTTAAGTCCTTTTCTGTGAGAATGACAGACTTCCTGTGTTCTGATGAGTGTTAAATCTATGTGAAATGTTCCTATACTTTTAAGCCATGCACAAGAACATGTAATGATCTAGATCACTTGAAATTAGATCATATTCCCTGAATATCCTTAGCTATGAATCATGGTTTCATTTAGCGTTATAGTTCATAATGAAATTCATGTTATTATCCCGGAACAATCACTTTAAAGATTGACAGCTGGCATGCAGAAATGTACAAAGTTATGACATTTCCCCCCAAAAGCCAGAGAAAATGTTAAACACTTTGTCACATAGGTCAATCCACATACATCTGCCAATCCCACTTTGATGGATGAATGAGGTGGAAAGTCACAGTGACCTAATTATAATTCAGTGCTGGATTAGTTCTAAAGATAGCATAAGAGAATGGGAGATAATATATACCATATCCTTTGGTTTCGTTTGATTTTACTTTATGCCCTATTAACAGCCAGGGTCATTTAAGGACATGCCAGGCTTGGGTGGTGCAGGAAAGATTTTGAAAAACCACCAATCTGTGACGAGTAGCTTGCAAATGCATCACTAGGCCTTGAACCCTCCACCACGATGTGGAGGAGCAGTGATAAAGAGTTCCTTGAAAAGAACAACTGACCTGTGGCCAGTACCTGTCGTACCACCTAGGCCTCGAACCAATGACCCAGAGGAAGTGGACTAGTGATAAAGACTGTCATATCCTTAACCATGCAGCCTTCGTAGTCCATCATCAAACTAAATGCAAACACTAAATGAATCAATGGGTCAATGGTTGTAGAGAAGGTATAAAATTACCGCTGATTGTTCACTGGTAATTAAGAGGACATTCTTGGTATTGTCACATGGAAATTCATAACAGATACTGACAATATTTTCAGATTATAATATGGAAATAAAATTTCCCAAAATAAACGGATTTTCATTCATATTCAATCGATGCTTTAACAAACTAATTTACCTTCATCACCAAAGACAACTAGTAATTAGCTCCAATTGTATAGTATGGTATTACAGTGACAAGCCGGGGCCTTTAAGCAGATCAAACTCAGTTACAGTATCTGCCTTTCACGTCATCATCAATAATTCAGACAAGCAGGTCAAATAAGGATATGAACACTATCATTGACACAGTGGTCAATAAGGACTTCACTAGTGTGGAATATTACAGTGTAACAGATCAGAATCTAAGGTCAATAATGATATTTAAGATGCACACAGTAAAAAATGGTGCTTAAACAATGGTAGTTTTCTGGTTTATGATAATGTGCCTGTGAACAAACATTTATGTGCCAGGACAGTGCATATCATGAACTGGTTTAAAGAGAGAGAATACATATTCATTGATTGTATGTCTGTATCATTTTTTTTATTGACAAAAATCTATCTTTGAATTCAAAACATCACATTGTTTCTGTTTGCAATGTTTTGATCGAGATTACAGACTCTAGCTGGCCTCCTGCATGATGTTCAGAGAGGTAGCCATTAGCTACAATGTGAACCCATGTAAAAATGACTGACTGTTTATCAGTATAAAAACTGAGCAAACAAATATACATTCCATATGACGATAGCATAGTACAAACTGCCACAGCTTTAACAGTGAATGATATCTATCCTAGAGATGTTCCTTATATATAAACAATACTGAAATACAGATGTTTATACATCTATTTTCATCTGGCACTCTGCCATCTCCACTAATGTATAAATATTGGTTACAGGATACTTGACCAAACTTCCAGAAACTGATAAGTCTTGCTACAGATCAGATGTAGGCTTACTGTACCTCCACCCAACATTCATACTCTGCTTTCTTCAACACATTGACCCCCTCTGGTTTGGACATGAATTAGGTAGTACTAAAAATATATATGGTACAATAAATTTGAAATTCCTATCATAAGTATACATCACTTCAGACTCTCCCTCCTTCCTAGATACTTGTCTAATCTGGCACCCTACTTCCCGAAATCTCCATTTTATTATCATACACTAGAAGAAATGTTGCAGTTGAACTGGCATTTTACATCTTTATCCAGTAAAAGCTATTGAAAGTCAAGTTATGTCTTTATTTAATGATCCTTGATAACTCATTACAATCAAAAACATGTATCTCCTTTCTGCAGTTCTACTTAAATTCTAGCACTTCCATCACTATCCAAAAACACCAAATTTCTGCCAACAGTCACTAAAGGTCATAGGTTATTTCCACTCATTAAATGGTTCGTGTACCAACTTCAGACCATTTTCCACAAACACCTGGAGCCAATAAGTGAACTATTTTGGCAACAGATTTTGTGAGGGAGGGTGTCTGCTGGAGAAAATTGCCTGAATCTGCATGCCAGCTGTTGTGTCTACAAGTTCAGACATTTGCTAGAGATCAGTACTTGGACAATAATTGTCGACAGACTTTTTTATAATAGAATATAAAGACTGTTGATTATAAATACCTTCAAAGTACTTCTACCTAGTAAAATCCTGCAGCATCT